GCGAAACTCAGAGGAGCAAGCAGGAAGAAGGTGGAGAGCGAGTCGAGGAGGAAGACGCGCCTCTCTACTTCCTCTTTTTCAGTTGAAAAGGAGAGAAGGTGATGCAGCTGCACGTGGCACTGCCGTCATCAGCTGCTGCATGCGCCGCTCGAGTGAGCCGGCGCCTCAGGAGGATCCCGGCAAACGCACGCGGTGGCCGGCTTAACGCCCGCGGAGAGCGCTATAGACCAGAGGAGGAGGGTATACGATTGTTCTGCATTCGCTCTCTCGTTAGAGAGCGTTCTCCTCCTCTGTCATCCTGAAAGTTGCTTGCACCGCTTACAAACCATCTCAGGGGAGGCTGCTAAAGCTTCACCCTAGAGCTCAGACCCGTGACTTGGGCTTCAAAATAAAAGTTTTCTCTCTTCTTACTCCCAGCTCCTCTGCGCTTTTACGGCTGGCTACAAAGCAAGAGCAGGGATTATCGTAGCCGAGAGAGGAGGAAGGAAGGAACTCCGTGACGTCACGATTCAGGGAGAGCGATGAGAAGGGAAGCGCCCCCGACGCTGCGTTCGGAGCGAACAGAGAGCGCCATCCAGGCGACGGGTGGCGAAGCCTGCACGCACGCGGTTAGCCGCACGGGTACAGCGACCTGTGGCACGGGAAAGAGGAAAGTCGACCGTTTCTCGTCGTGGGACAGCTGTGTTAAAGCGGAAAAAAAATGCCTGGTACAGAAAAGCTTGCAGAATATCCTTGACGCTTACTTCTTGGACGGAAGCAAGTGTGCAGATGATTACGACACGAACCTTAATGGCGAGAAATTCGCGGTATCCCTTCGACGATAAAGTTAGTGGGTTTCTCCCCTGAGCTGGGTTTGTTTACTCAATTTTTTGTATGTTTTCTTTTTGATGGAAACGTCGCTGGTTACGTTGCTTGGACAAAAAGAAGAAAATAAAAGATTGTGCTGGCGGTAGTGGAGCGTTGAAGGTGAAGAACCATATATGAGAACATTTAAACACCCAAGAAAATGTTGTTAACCAAGGCCCACGTTTGAGTTTACTCACGCCACATAAAATCGCAAGGAAATATTACATAAAGTCATTAGTTCTTTTTCTCTTTTTCTCGAGGAAATAAACACGTACAGTGCTGAAACGCTTGCCTCCTCCTGTTACAGCTTTGACGGGACCTAATCTGCTGTATCCACTTACAGTGCCATACGTTGATGATAGTGCACTCGTAGAAGATGTACCCATATTCTCTGCTCTGGGAGAAGAATGGCTATTTGGGCTATTTGGTTGGAATTCATGGTAATAAGGGCTGCAGCGCGAGCACGAAGGTGCTAGAAGAAACGTGAAATGAAAGGCGAGGCAAGGAAAGCAAAGAGGACAACACCCTCTGGGAGAACCATCAGGCATACCCTTATGCTAATATATGTGGCAGTGATGTAATGAGGTGATGATGCCGTTACAAGCGGGGTTAGCCTGGTAGACCTGGACGTTAGTTGCTCCACCTTGGCGTTCTTATCAACGTGAAACATGCCATCGTCAATACTCTTACGCCAGTCTCTCGCTGAAATATCAGAAGAACGCAGGGCACTCCTTGCTCACATTCTGCTGTCCTTCTGTGAAAAGAGTTTGTTCGGTGTACCTTTGGGGGAGTCGTGTTCTTTCTCATTCTGTCCAGCAGTCTCCTTTATTCAGGATGTCAGCTCTTGTAGGACCAGGTGAGGTGCTCACAATCTACCACTTCATTTCACGCAGTGTATGATGAAGTAGCAACACTGTTTTAAGACTTTTTAATTATTGTGATGTGCAGAATGCCCTTTTTTCTGAATTTTTATGATTTAAGGTGTGGCCAATCCTGTTGTTGTCCTCTACATAACAATCCCAACGAAGGTAGGGCAAAGTTGAACACCTGCTGAGCTATGCGTGATATGGCACTTAATGATGCCCGTTTCGGATACTTCTGAATAAGCTGCACTTGAGCCCTATTTCTGCAACCAAGGTTGTGGGCATGTGCGTTCAAGGAGCATAAGGTGATATTGAAAGCGCCCCCTAATTGCCGAAAGTCAATAGACCTATGCTTTTACACTTGATTTGACTCCCTGAGTGTACAAGTCATTATGTCGATCCCTCTTTTCTTTTCTGCCTCTTTGTTCGCCCCTTATCCCTCTCTCCCATTGCAGGCTAGCAAACTGGACGTGCGTCTGGTTAGCCTCCCTACCGTTTGTTGCATCTTCCCCCCTCTCTCTCTCTCTCTTTCTCTCGAAAAAAATAGGGTGGCTTAGGAGCGGCTTAGTCCCTTTTCAACCCAGGGCTGATGAGGTGCTTTTCATAAAGAAGAAGAAGAAGAAGAAGAAGAAGAAGAAGAAGAAGAAGAAGAAGAAGAAGAAGAAGAAGAAGAAGAAGAAGAAGAAGAAGAAGAAGAAGAAGAAGAAGAAGAAGAAGAAGAAGAAGAAGAAGAAGAAGAAGAAGAAGAAGAAGAAGAAGAAGACTTCATTAGCGAAAAACATTTCGTTGCCGCTAAAACACGGCAACGCCGCGTGGCCGGGCCCATATTCCAAGGCAGCACCCCTGGCTCTGGCCATCCTTTCAGCTCTCCTGACTAGCCTCCACTGGTCCTCAAGGGCCGGGCTGGACAGCATTGCTTCCCACATCTATCTCATGTTGTGTCTTCCTGTTCTTCGGCGTTTGCCGTACATTCCCACGTGGCGTGGTAGAGCGTCGGTGTGATCTACCATGCTTTAACTGCTGTGGGGTAGAACGCATAAGGTAACAAAAAAATATGTCTTACAATAATTTTTTCTTCTTATGGAGTCGTCGATTTACTGGCGCTCTAACGGTTGGCTGCCTTGAAAGTGCTTCAATAGTTAAGGACATTTTTATTCCGTTTCAAGGTAGTAGCATTATCATGTGAAATTATTCACTGAAACGTTCATTCAAATTATTCTGGGAAATATTTTGAAGACAATACCAGTGGCTGGCCTTTGTTGGTATTCAAAGGAATCTCAGCGAAGAGTAGTGAATTTTCGAAACTGAGAGGAAGATAGCATTCAGTGTGCTCTCATGTAGCAGTTCACAAACAGCGGCAGAATAACAGCACTCCTCTCAACAGATGAAGATACGAGGTGGCCGACATCACTGGACCATGCTGTAAAATTTGACGGAATGCATACAATATGCAGCCCAACAGTGCCGAGTAACCAGGCTGACAGAAATGTTGGTGTGTACAAGGAGTTGCCTAGAACAATTTGTGAAAAAATTATGGAGAAACGCAAAATGATCTGGGGGGTATTGAAATGAAGTGAACGAAATGGAGTGTCCTGCCGTTTGATGACACCGGCTCAGGTCTCCAACGTCGGAACGTCCTCGCTTTGCCTAGTCCAGACGTCCAGACCTTGGTAGTTCTGCTGGACGCCCCAGATTATAGTCGGTGATTTCTGAGCAATGCAGGGCACCAGCCCATATCACCGAAAAAACATAGGGATTTTCGGCTTTAGTATGTGTCTTACACTCGCAGACCGTACGTTTGCTTATAACACACGCGCGTCGCCAGCCGTCTGTGTTAAAACACGTTGTCGTGATATATTCTTCTCTGAGTCAAGCTTATGTTTCAGGCGAGCAACTAAAGTGCACGAAGAAATGAGAACTGAGACTGTAGAGTGCTTTGGTGTGCGCCACTCATTTCCGAGCCTAAACACAATGCCGATTTTGTTTAAGAAACAAGTTCATGTCGGTGTATTCATTTTTCGTCGTTCAGGTAATTGATATATTCGGTTAAAATTAGCGCCACCTTGTTCCCGGCGTTTCCAGTGCTCCCTCGTTGCCTGAACAGCGCGCCAATCATTGGGAAATCATCGCAAAACGAAGATTATCAGCAAATTGCACCGGAAAGGCTGAGATATGCGACCAGTTTCATTGTCGTGCCCAATAAAACATGGTGGACCGAGCTTACGGGATTGCGAAAGATGGCGCTGCGCATTTCAAATATCCACTATCAAAGGACGCAAATCAAACTATGCTTCCGTGATGCTGTTATCAAGAGAAAGGTAACTTACTAATTAATGACACTCTATCTGAACATCTCGATTTCTTCTTCGAGGCTATGCTATACCTTTGTAAGCGCCGGAGCAAGTTCGGCGTTCATATCAGCTAACCGCTTCTGGTGTTGCTTATATCCATGTTGCTGTTGGCATTGTTACACAACTGGAAACAACCGGTTATACAAAACACATGCGGCTGTTTAACGTATGTTTATGCGTGCATTTGTACACATTTTATGCGCCACTCCATAACGGTTCGTTAAATAAAAAAAATTACAACTCAGTCACCTTCCATCCGCATGTTTCGCATAACATCGATTCGCAAAGAACGTGGGACCCGCCAGATTTTTTTCCTGGTGTTTCTAACTTCGACTACTGGTTTATTAGGTGATTGACTGATAAATTTATTGAGCGATTGATTGATTTATTGCTTTCTACGTTGCCAAGCTAAGTCGGTGAGAAAAGTTGTGTTTAGCCAAAACAATTTATATCTTTCTTAGTACTGCACCGAAATGGCGAAACATGATAATGTTTAAAAAATGAAAAATAATTTCAACCTTACCAAATGAAATAGGAGTAGGACTCAGCTCTGATACTGCAGCATCTCTTCGTTGGTTGTATTCAACTTGTGCCTATTTCTTTCCTGGAAATGTCTTCAAACACTGCTCCAACCTGTGTTCCGATTTGCCCATGGTAGGGGAAGTGCATCGGCTGCGCCCTTGTCATTTAACCTTTTGTTTGCTGCAGTCTCTAATTGTTCCTATATTTGCCATCATAGTTTGTCTCTACAACTATGCCTCTCTCCCCACCCACGCTCCTCTTTTTTTTCTTTCTCTCTGTAAACTATCGATAAAGAACTACTGCGACAGCATAAGCTTGCGCAATGTAACTCGAATATTGAAATTCCCCTGCCTGAGGCCTCATGTGTGAGGCTGGCAGTACTTCTGAAATAAATAAATAAAATAAGGAGAAGAAGCCGTTTCTTGATAAGAAGTTTTTCTTTAATGGAAGTAAACACAAACACACAATCACAATTCATGTACAGCAAAAAAAAAGGATCTTGAACATGGCAGCAATAATACCGATCATACCTTCAACAGCCTGAACCCCTAAACTGCTGAGCAGAGACGCACTATGAAGCAGTCCGATCGATACATCAGTGATCCAACAATAGAGTTACCTTTGCTTTTAGAATTAGACGCATGTATAAGTTAGCGAAGAAGGCCTTTCCATCTTAAGCACTGATGAGAAGGTCGAATTCAACAAAACACAACTTCTCGCAAGTCTCTTCGGAAGAACTTCAAATAGCTTTGGATGAACCGATCGACGGATGAGCCAGATTGTACTCTGATTGGTGAACGAAACGTCTACCACGTTTCGTGCAGTTGAAAACGAACTAATTTGTGCTAAGCTCACGCTTCTCATTGCTCAATATAAATTCGTGCATTTTAGAATGTACACTGCTTCATTCGGGATACATTGCTTTAAGGCATGCAATGCGATGGGTTATTTCAATACAGGTATTCAGTGGCCACTTATCGATATCATGCTCGAATATGCTAGCGGGCTAGATTTCGAACTTTAAAGGCTTCAAATGGCACAAAACCGCTTGGAGTGAGTACAGTTCATATTTAACGAGATCGGCACCACGGAGTGCGTTGAGCTTCAGCATAAACGGGCCCGTATCCGGTTCTGGGATCCCAGATTCGTGGCCTTTAGCAGGAGCAGCGCCCTTGAAGGTATGCACATACACGCTTGTAAAAAAATATAAAATGAATTGCAACAAAATGAGCACATTCACGTAGTATAGGAAAGAGTTTAGGAGGAGGCAATCAAGGTAACTCAGACATGCTATTTTAAAACCACAGATACGCGCAACTCCACCAAAAAAATAATAATTGCCTGTCTCCTTCACTTATGTAAAAAAAAACGTCAAAGCCGTTTTTGAGTCACCGTTCTACCATCCAGAACGACGCAGCTCAAAGAAAGTAAAAAATGAAGCCCACCACGAAAAAACAAGACTGAAGGAATGCACTGTGAAAGAAAAAAAAAGGAAAAATTGACAAGAGCTATGCTTGCACACATTATGGTACAGTGTTTTCTTTTTGTGCGTTCAGGTGCTTCCACCTTTCGCGTCACCCAAGTACAAAAAATACAACAAACACATTAATACGTGCCTGCACGGAATTCACTCGAACGCGTATGTAAAAAAAAAGGGGGGGGCTCGCTTTTGTCGCGCAACCCATGACGTAAAGCGGTGTTTGCTGAGAAGGAGGCACTGGTTTTGAGCCCTGAATATGCACAGCATACCCAGGAACCATCGTCTTGCGCAGCAGTGAATGAAGTGTGAGTCAAGAATGGTGCAAAAAAATAATACGCTCTAGCGGGCTTATCAAACATGGGCATTCGCGAAAGCCCGTATAGATAGTGTGTAAGGATACAGCGCGCTGATTTCGAAGGCGTGCCTTCTGAAACACATCCGCAGGCATGATGAGACAGAGGTGAAGGCGTAATGGTAGCTGATATATGGCTGCCGAATGCAATGCTAGGGCGTAGCGGTGCGGGTGTTTGCTCAAATCGACTGACTACACTGTGGCTGAGCCTAGACAGAATACGAGGAAGGACACGGAAGTAAGCTGGAACACACTTACAAATGGCCACCCTGTGTTGAAGAAAAGAACACACTCTGGGAACGGGAAGGGTAAGGAATGCGGAAACGTATAGAGAGGAATCACTTCACAGCCGAAAAAAAAGCTATCGGGCGCGTGAATAGTTCCGTGGCTTATCTTGCTTAACGTAAACGTGGAACGGACAAGCTGGGCCCCAGTAGATTAAGCAGTAGCCGGTAAATGAGGTAACCACAGACTATCACCATACTGTTGGCATCCCCGTTACGATATGTTTAAATGCTCACGTAAGTGACCTCGAGTAGAGAACGAAGATCCGTCACGTGTTCCCTGAAGAGCTGCGCAACGCCGCGACACGCATGTTGCTGAGAGTACACATCCAGAGAGGCACTTGGCTTACCCGAAGCAATGTTTCGTTCGGCTTATTACACCCTGATACATTTCATGCGGCATAACCAGGTGTGTACAAAGAGGAATGTACTTAAGTTCGCAACTGCTTGGCCTGGTATCATTGCTTGCTGTAGGGCTAAGGAGGGATGACGGGAATTAAGGTCACACTGGTTGGCTTGGTCCCAGTGACTGGTCGAAAGCGTGGGGTGAGTGACGGCCTTCGACTGCCTGTTTGGTACCTTTATGACAGTGAGACCGTGCGATATTGAACGCGTGTTCAGATGAGGTGCTGTAAGTGCGGTGGAAGACCTTAACACGTGGTGGGGCTTTTGATTGGCTACCTGAGCGGTGGGGTCGGGCGACGAGCTTGGTGGGTATAAGGTGAGAACAGTCGCAAGAAAACGCTGCTCCTCTTTCCTTCTCTCTATCTCTCTCGAAGACCACCAATCACGTGCATCTTACTCACATCACCTCTTCTCTTTGCCCAGTGTATAAATGAAGACGTATTGGCTAGCAAAAATATTGCTGTAATGGCGGGCTATTTATTTTGGCACCACCTATAGAAGGGCGAAAATGGCTGCTCGTTGCAAGCGCCCTAAGAAAAAAATAGGCGGAAGAAAGAAAGATAATATCAGTGTTGTGTCATGACGTCTTAAGTAGCTGTCACCTAGCTGTACTCGTTTGACGTCTAGGCTTTAACGTGCGAAGTCTAACAGTGAGACGCATTGGTGAATGGCACTGGACCTCTACAAAATAGGTGGTTGTTTCAAACCTTTTACGTTATCAGTTGCGTAATTTTAGGAGTGTGGGATTGTTGTTTTGAGACTTGCCAGATTAAAGCCTTAAGGTCGAAGCAACGTGAAAGTCATGTTACAATTGGAATGTAATCAGAAAGAGCAAAGGTGTAGACTGCCTATATAAGTTTCTTGTTTTCCTATTGTGTGCCGTGATTTTTATAGTCTTCCTGTGTAGGCATTTCGCAAGCCCCCGTTGAAGAGTAAATATAAAAAATATGATTTTCCCGCCGGGTATCACATAACTTAAGCAGCCGCCATCGTTTGGCGTGAGCTGCTGGAATGTTGCTTATCAGCAGTGAAGGGAAAGGCGTGTCTAAATATTGACAAGGTCAAGATGAAGCCTCGTAAGTAGCTCCGGAGGTAGAAGACTTTAAAGATTTTCAGAAAAGTTTACGTATAAACTTACAGCAGAAGTGCTAGCTTAGACGTCGACAAGATTAAGCGCGTATTCAACGCGAGTCTACTTGATAAGACGGCACAAAATTACGCACACACGTACCTCCGCCCCACGAGTGGTATAAAAAATATGCATTGAACATTGTTCCTCAAAACATCTCGCCCTAGCCGTGAGGGTTCTGTCTGCAAATGCCATAAGGAAAGTGTGAGTGGTGCAGTTTGACAGTGTCTTCTCTGTTTATACGTTAAGCTATAACTTTCGGAAGCTACGAATAACGACTTCCTCCTTCTTCTATACTTCACTGTGTACATACCTCACGATTGCATGTAGAACGTGTCAAACTTCACGAAAACATTTTATCCTTCCACTGTGCAAGTTAGGGTTAAATCCACTTTTACCTTCACTTGTCGGCGGCCGAGGGAATAGGCCACATTCTCGTGAGTCCGATGAAAAGATCGAGACACGTGTGCTTTATTCTAGGATGGAACGTATATTAGAAAAATGCGGGCGCCTACTGGCACTATATCACTGCGCGCCGTTTTCTCGGGCTATAGCGGGTCTTGGATTGCATAGTAAACTCGTACATTCACTGGCGATATCATGGAATGTATGAATACACGGTCATTTCTCGGATCGCGTTTTGTGCACGTCATACGAGAACACGAAACAAACAAAAAAAAACTAGAAACAGCTTCCTATACACTGACGCACGAAATGCAGAGTCTTCGACTCATCAACCACACGACGCTTGTTAACGTTTGAGCTTCGACGCGCACCACGTGTAAAAAGGAACGGGGTGCACTTGAGGTTAAGGCTAGCGTCTTTTTGTGTCCATTGCGTTAGTGTGGGGTACAGAAAAAAAATCTAACCGCGGACCCCTTTAGCTGCCACATCTTTGAGGGCTGGACGCGACGGACGAAACGCGCGCTCGAAGTATAGGGGCAAAAACGGTTTTACTTCGTAACACGACTGAGGCGCAAGCATTCAGACCGATGCGCGTTGGAAAAGACACCGTAAAGACGTGAGCACCCAAAGAAGAAAAAAAAAGAATCAGACGAAACAACGATCAAACTAGCCAACGAATGAGAACGTGAGGCAGTCGCGCACGAAACCCCTATCGAGCTCTTTGCCGACAAAATCGACAAATCGACAAAATCGACAAATCGACAAAAGATTGCTCACGCAATCTTAGGTCAAGCGTTTGCTCTTTTTTTTTTCTAACACGTTAAGGGACGCGCGCCAATGTGGTTAAGCTTGAAAATGTAGCGTGGTGTAGAAATGACGAAACAGGAAAAGAAGGAAATGGCAACTGAAAGAAGGAAGCACGATATAGAGACAGCCACGCGTAGTCACATATGCTGTTTTACACACTACACACACATACACACGAATACGCGCTCACGCAAACAACACAACCTTGCGCTTTCCATGAAAAAAAAAGAGTAATTAAGGAAAAGGTCCATGCATCTTTTCTCCGGTCGTTGCCGTCGTCCGTGTCGTCCTCCTCAGCGCCGCTTCTTTCCGACGTCACGCGCGCGCACGCTCACACACTGACACCAACGCACTTACACAGTCTCGGCTGGTCAGCCGGCTGCTAGAGCGGCTCGGTCGTCGACACAGTGGCTCGTAGAGGGGTAGTGAGAGCCGTGTCAACGGGAACGGGCAAAGAACGCCGCGCACGGTCAGTTTCACAAGTGAGTCAGCGCGGCGTGCATACACGACACGGTGGCTCTTTTGGAGCGCTCTCGTCGTTAGTGAGGGAGTGGATGTGGCGAGAGACGCGGGGAGGACGGGAGGTGTGAAGGCGGTGTGGAGCACCCACACGATTCTTCTTCCTCGTGGTTTCGTTTCCATCCTTCCGCAACGACGCCCCAGATGTTTGCGCAGATGAGACGACATTGTCGGCGGTGGGGACGCCGGCTGCCGGCTTGCACTTTCACTCGCAGTCATCGTGGAAACTCCCGAGCCGAGCCAGTCTTGCTTCTTTTGGCGGCCTCGTACAACTTGTGCCGGTAGTCCTGAATGTGACCAGAGTAGCGCGCCGTGTCTCCAGAGTTCTTTGACGCACACCGTATTCGCTGCTGAGTAGGGGCAACGGAGAGAATGCGACTCTCATCTAGACTGTTACGCTAGGAAAATAGGCATTATTTGCTTGTAGTTGACCACGTGTGCGACTTATCGTATTGACCACGATGTTAACTGCTCATGAAGCCCTTAAACTGTGACCTGATACGCGTCCCTCTCGGGCGGCGCGTACATCCGTTCATCGGTGCTCGTCTATAAGCTGTCTCATTCCTGACACGTGCCCTACATTTGATTCCTCCGGCCTCAAGGTTCGAGCCAGGGGGTGGAACATTTGGCCTGCAGTCGACTGTAGTGCTGTGTACAGCGCCAGGAAAAAAAACTGGTTGTTGCTAAAGCTTTACCACCGCTCTGGTCAACGACTCGCAGAGTATTTCTCAAGAACTCTAAACCAATAGTTCACCATGCCCTTAAGCGAACAGTGTGCGCCTGTTAACTGACATATAACGTCGGCGATAAACTTATCCCTCAACATTTTACTTCTCGTTATCTTTAATCACTCTAGAATACTGTTAGAAGCAAACAAGATTGCTTATTTTAGCCCGTATCGTTTTTGTACTCAACCCTACAAGCCTGGGCCCCATGTTTGTTGTGGCCAAAGAACTCTGGAAACATCGCCTTCTCGCCGGTCACCGGACTACCGGCGTACGAAGAAAACTGACGGCCATGATGATACTACTACTAATAATAATATTAATAATAATAATAAAAATAATAGATGAAAAAGGTCGGAACTAGGAAGGCGTCTCTCTCTCCCTGGCGGCGGGAGTGGGAAGCTATGGCGGACGTGGCACCGCCTACCGCGTCCTGAAGTAGGACCGGTTCATCCTGAGCAAGAGCGGCGCCTGCGGCTGGCAGTCCTTGGGGTTGCACTTGATCATGCCGCTGGCGTCACAGATGCACTCCAAGCACGGCCCGCTAGCCTTCTTCACCACCTGGCCCACCTGGTAGAAGCTACCATTGACCTCACAGCCTGCAAAAAAAAGAGAAAGAAAGCAGTGGGGAGAGAAACGGATTACAAACTGTATCAGCAGAGTTTAACTATCGTATCATTCCTGATTTGCATTGCAGATCGAGAAACTCCTAGTTAATGAATAGAAAGATAGAGCGGTGTACATGAGAACAAAAAGCAGGGAATCGAACCGAAATATTCCTCCGTAAGGGGGGGGAGGGGGGCTTGGTGCAACATCTACTTTTTTTGTAATGTAGGCCAAAATAAGGTGATCACTAGAACGATAAACATGTGACAGCACACAACACCCATTTTCGCACGTTGGAAGTTAGCGAGTGGTGTTTGTTGTAAATTATAGCTATTTCTTGTTACTGCAACAAATTGGAATATCAACTTCTGGTTTTCTAACCTGCACTAACAAAAGGGGCGTGCAATAGAGCATGGGTTGAAAAATCTTTTCATTGCTAAGTAATTTTTCACCTCTTTACAACAAAGTAAAAAAAAAGATAAATATACCCTTTTTTTTTAAATGAAGGAACAAATTTGACTACTATTTTTTCGTATTGAATGCCGAATTCAGACATTGGAGAATATTTCTTCTTTTGAAGACCTCTCTAGCTTTCGAGATGGGATCTTCAATATACGGGCCAATATACCCTTAATGAAGGATGGGACAATAGCACTGCTTTCTGAAAAAACTTCGTGGATGTGTTACCAATCAAAACAGATTACCTAAAGTAACAGCTGAGAGGTTCGCTTGGGTGAGTATGCCCTATCTAGTCAGCGAAAGGTTACAGACTGCTCAAAAACAGAACATGAGGCAAATGACAATTAGTTACTTCATTCATGAAGCTTGTATAGAAGCATTTCAACGAAATCGGGAGAGCTCTGTCATGATAAACTGCTGAATGGCTTTGATTTGTGAGCGATCGCAATACGCAACAAACATCATTAAGCTACCTTTGAAATTCGAACGCCTTCGTTCATACTGTTTTCTCAAGGCACTATGTCGGTTGCTCGTGAAAAGTATGAGCTCAGTTTCCCGGGTGAAAGAAGTTTGACGTCTCCAAGCCACACGCGTTAAAATTAGCTATTTGATTACCTTTGACTTCCATGGTTGCCTCGATCATCTGTTGCATGAACCTCGGAGCTGGCGTTGTTGTCGTCGTCGTTGTCGTAGTGGTCGTTGTAAGGCTCACATTTTTGACTGTCATGTGAACAGCTGCGAAAGAAAAAAAAAAGACAAAGGAGCGTCGGGTATTACGTTGTCAGCTTTGCCGATTAAAATCTTCAGTTTGTCTTACGTACTGCAAATGGAGCACATCAGTCATGACTAAACTCTTAGGTAATTGCAGCATGTAACGTGCAATTCCAACCTAATGTTCTTTAAAGAAAAAAAACGACTTCATAGTTACTATCGTTTACTATTTCTTGGTCGCATAGGTAACGAACGTGTTACCAAATGCAGTTGGTAATTAGTATCTGTTACTATGAGTTGTAGCAACTGTCAGTAATGGTGCTCTTGCGAAGGCTCTAAATGTTTGTGATTGTTAAGGACGTGCCCTAATTGTTATTAACAAAAAGTCAACTTGTCCCAGTCTGTGGGCCACATAAATGTTATAGCATCAAAATTCAGGCTTGCACAAAACCAAAATGCTTGCATGATTTAAACGTTCTTTTATAAGTCACAAAATATATGTCCGATTTTTTCCTCGTTGTCACTGTCGTCACAGGCTGTGACATAGGCCATCCCTATGCGAAACACATACGTGTTGGTAAACGCTACGCCCAACCATAACCTACACAAAAATCTAGGCTATTTTCGTGACGTTCTCAGACGACTGTTATGGTACAGCTCTCTACTCACGGCATTCGTATCGCGGACAGCAGAATCCGCTGATGGGCGTCTCGTAACACTGAGGGATTGGCGGTGGGCACGTCTGCTGCAGACAGATTATGTCACCACGGAAGCAGAAGCAGAAATCGCACGGGTCCGGCCGTGGGATCTGCTCTGCCGATTGATACACCTTGGCGTCGAAAATGCAGGCTGCGAAGAAAGAACAGGCATCGCGAAAGTCAGCATGACCGGATATCCTGTATTCATACGGGTGAGTCAATGGACAATCCAAAGCTCACATGCTCGAATGACAACATGGCGTACTTCAAGCTAAGCAGAAGTTCACGAGAAGGTAGGAGGTCGTATGAGACGAAAAACCTGTGAACTGCGGTTGTGACATTGAACAGGTAGCCTCATCATCTTCAAAGCAGCAAGTGCAGTTGCTGCTTTGAAAAGACAAAACCACATCTCAAAGCATTTCCTCTGCAAAGCCACCAATAAAAGATATTTTGTCTCAACATGTTGTTGTGTCACAGAATATGCCGGACAATGCAGAAAAAAAAAAACAAAAGTGCAGCCTCCCATAGCACGATAATATGCGCTGTGCAGCATATAACAAAACGCGTCGATCTAGCTCCTACTATGCCAGAAAACTTGTTACTGTTTGTACCAGTGTAGCTAAATCGTTTTTTTTTGGGGGGGGGGGGGGGTAAAACCGCCGTCCTGACTGAAGACTGGGACGATGGTTAACGTTCCGACAACTCGCCATCTTCGAAACGTTAACGTCATTGAATTTCCTTGCTCAATGACTTTTCAGCAGTTCAAACATTATTCTTTTCCTGAACCTGCTCAGAACACTGTCTTACAACAAGGTACCGTCTTAGCAAGATATCAAAACACCTTGACAGGAGGAAGTCAATGTGGCAGCCAATGGGTAGCTGTTCTAACTTCTATAAATATGATGACGATGTTAATAGCTTCAAGTGTTGTGCCAGAAAATGGATTGCCAGGCTATAATGGGAGCAAGTTGATGTAGAGATATCTACGTCAATTTAGAAGTAAAAAGTTAGAATAGCGATCATGCTGTAATGAGTGAACTTCTTTTTGAAGGTTATCAATGTTTGGTGTGTGTACATTTCTTGTATCACTGGTTCATCATCTCTTATATTCTCGTTCGTACGAATATCTGCAATTGACCTACAACGATTCCAGTTTCTCAACGAAACCTAGCCGTAATTTGCGAAGGCGACTCTCGCTTGGCTCATCTTTGAACGTCACTTTTGATGCCCTTGTTGCAAATCTATGCTAAACTTGAAACAGTTACATAATTTAAAACAGCGCCAGCGACGCGTATACTACGCGCTATACCACTTTTTCAGACACTTGCGACGCTCTTCTGATCAGTGTCGTCACATACGGAAAGCTGGCTTCACTGTGAGCATAGTCAAAGTGTGAAGAAGCCAACTCAACAACCATTCAGATTAGTATTACTGCATAAATACTTCGAGAAAGTTTTGCATCCGTCGAAAGTGTGGCTCAAAACAGTGGCATTAGCCAATGGTATAACACCAGGGCCCGTGTCTCCTCCCCCCTCAGCATTTTTCTTTTGCCATGGCACAAAGAGCAAACAATGACTATGTCAAGGGGACGCCCCCCCACCCCCCTGAAGTAATGGAGGTGTGTCCCCACGCCCTCTGAAAACATTTCTGGCTGTGCCCCTAGCTTGAGGTACAGGCCGTAATAATGACAGACTATCGAAACACTGCGCTAGTTTTTACAAACAGCATGGTAAAAATAGCTGCATGTGCAGCGACGTTAGGGACATATTGCTGTCATGCTATGAGAAAAAATATAGGTTTTACGTAGCTACTCACATCCTTCCTCGATATGATAGCCCCTTCCGTTGTCGTAGACTCGGGTTCTGGAAAGATGCAAGAAATTATCATTATTACTTCGTTTTGGTAGGGTGATCAATGTATGAATGCTCAACAAGTAGTCGCTCCGATTGCGCGGGAAACTGAGATACTTGTGGCGCACTCAGGAAAGCTATACACATCTGCATTGCGTTTATTGGTCTTGAGCATGTGCTCATTAACAACAGCGTTTCCTTTAATGTAAAAAAAGGTAACGCTGCTGTATTTGTGGGGTGTTTAGGGCTACGGCTAATTCGTTGCTTTATTTGCGATGCGTGTATTGCTGCAACTAGCACGTTCAAGTGACCTTGCAGTAAGTTATTCAAAATATAGTATTTAGCTTTTAAATAAGACAACGATGCTACCTTCCGTGCTTGCCGTGAGAGTCGTGCCTTCCTCCCGGGGTAGTTCCGGTTCTCCAGTAGCCGTAACACCCGGTGGTGGTGTCGTCACTTCCGGAGTGGCCGGGCTCTTGGTTTTCGTTGGCTCCTTCACCGGAGCACCCGCGGTCGCAGCGGTCTCCAGCCGGCTTCTCCGTCTCGGCCACGGGCTTCGGTGTCGTTACAGTGGCGGATGGCACCGAAGGCGTCGTCACGTTCACTTCCGGTGCCTCTGTCGTGCTTCCGGTGAAGAAGTCCATGATGGTTGTGAAGAGCGACGGTGACTCGGTGCTCTCTGGAGCTGGTGTAGCCTTCTTCTCTTCTACTGGTTCCACCACGTGAGCCGCCGGGTGTCGTGGCTTCGTCCTCGCGAGGCTCTTCCGGCTCCGCTGACGTCACCGCCGTCGAAGCTTCAGTGGTCGTCGTGTAGTGGACGAGCGGCTTTGTAGGGAAAGTGGCAGGTAGCATTCGCGCCCTCTGGCGGGGTCTCGGTAGTGGGACTAGTTGCTTCGGACGGTTGACTAGTGGATTCAGGAACCGCCGTAGTGGCCGATGTCGTCTTTTCTTCACTGGTCGTCACCGTTGCCTCGGTCACCCCTGTCTCCGTCTTCGCCGTTGTCGTAGCTTCCGGTTCACCCGTCGAGAGATCGTGGACGGGTGGCTGCGAAGCGGGAGGCTCCGTCATGACTTCGATGACGAACGGTGTCACTGTAGTCGATGGCACTGGCGTTGTGGTGACGTTGGGGCCAAATATCTTGGTAAAATCGGCAATCGTCGGGCTGATTGTGGTAAACTTGAACACCGACGGCCTGTGGGTCACCATTTCTTCGCGGCCTTCTTCCTCTTCGGACGCTGCAAAGGGTTGGAGCAGCTGTTAAATGTAAAAATACAAGAATAGCAATTTCTGGGGTTTGCCGTGTCACAACTATGATAGGATCAGAAAAGACGTTCCTAACTTCTAGCAGTCACTGCTATAATCTAAATTGACAGTAATGTAGTCTGGTGACATTTTGTCTACAAAGAAAACATCTGTCTACTTTACTCATCATTATGACTTTCACACCTGGCTTGTTCCTGAACAATGTTACGGCTTTATTTGGAAGTGCTCATCTAAAACTCTAATTCTCCTAACTCATTCAGAAGGATGAAGTTGAGCGCGTACAAAAAAAAACATGCAGTATTGTCTCTAGTTAATAGAGTTCTCATAACGGAAAGCATATCACCACATATATCTTGCTCACATATCGCTTCAAGTTATTCGCGTGAAGTTATGCAGCCGTCTATATTTCCCGGCATTCTGAATAATTTCCTCCATATGACTCCGTATTCGGTGCATAGAATGTTTGAAAAAGATTACACGTGCATATTCGCTCGTGGTTTGAAGTATGCTACCCATTACACAGAATGCAGCCATAAGCGAACGGTTCACTAGCACACGCCACTGTCAAGTTTATCGATTGCATTATAATTATCCACAATTTCAACTCATCGAGTAACACCATACAATAAAAAGCGTGCACTAAGTGGTTCAAGTATGCACTAGGTACAGGATATCGCTATCGCGTTCAACTCTAAAAAGCAAAGCCTAAAGATCCCCCAAAGTTTCTCTTGTGCGTTTCTCATTGCTAATACTAGCCCGTCACACGCGCCTCCCAGCGTCACTGTCAAAGCTCTGCTTTTCAGCACCCCTTTGTTATTCTCAACTTTGATGGTGCTAAATTTCACTCACGGCAGATGAATGCCTCGGCGCAGCACTGCTCTGGTTTGACGCCGGTCGGCTTGCAGCCTGGACGCGGAGGCTCTTCGCAGATGCGCTCGGCACACACCATCTCGCCGAACGTGCACTTGCAGAACGTGCATGGGTTGGCCGTCTGAATCACCTGACCATGCTCGACTGTTGTTCCTTGGACATTGCACGCTGGAAAAGAGAAAAGCTCGCGTTATAGAAAAAACCATTTTTAAAGCTTCTTTACAAATATTTGTCATAAGACATTGATCTTGAAGCAAGGAGTTCAAAGCAAGACGAAAGCTTGAATAACAAATGCCTAGGATAGGCGTGGCTGAAGCCGAGTTTCAACAAGTGGTCTTTCTTGAAGTAGACTTGACTTGTCTCGGTTGCGGCCTTGAAAGAGACAACATCGCCCATCGGAACGCTCGCTCCACCGACACCGGACTTCGAAAATTTTTTCATCGGTTCTTAAAGTAATAACTGTACTAAAGTGCGAATATACTGTTGTAATCACGATTATTTACTTTCCTGTTGAGCGTAGTAAGTAAACCTTGTCGTACCTGACAGAAAGAACTTGGCCCCAGCATTAGCATTTGCAAATGTACCTATTAGTAGGCACTTTGAAGTATGAGTTTGCGTGAACAGACTAGTTTCACTTGAACCCAAGTGTGCTGGAACTCGAGCCTTTTGTCAAAAATAATGTGTAGCGGTTAAGCGCACCACGCTATGCTTTTACTTCTGCGCAGTAAATTATTACTTGATGACATAATTGAAGGCAATTATTAACCAGAACAAATATTATCTGCATTACCCTACACTCATGGTGTGTGTATGGAAAGGGCTAGAAAGATAACACGAAAGTAAAGGGAGAGGGCGGTAAAAATAAAGCACTTGCTCGGTCACGGCCGTTCACAGCACACGATGACTCTTAACAATGGTACTTGCTATACAAGTTTGTTGAACGTGAAACAGTAATAACGCATTCTTCCTAGCACTCTGCTGCAAATATTTATAAGCTAGGCAGTGTAAATGACGGCTAATGAAATGAGTATGATGCTTGCACAGCCTCAAGACTTGCAAATTCATTGGCTTGTTAGAGTTTACGTTTGTTTCTGTAGTAAAGCATACGACACAACACAACATTTTTCAGAAGGAACTAGATAACGTTTTAGAAGCACTACGCACCTCTACCCTCATCCTGTCTAACTGCAATATGGGCTACTTTCAACGAGAACTGTTTGGTAAACATGAAATCTTTTGGACACTGTACCTGACATTTAACTATATGATAATTAAGGTAACAATTTTTTCGCGGACTTCAGTCATTTCGGTCGAACGTGACCACAAGAATGAAAAGCGTTCACTCACGTTTCGCCACATCATCCCCGTACTCGCCAGGCTGTGGCGTTGAAGGCGCTGTCACTGCCGGTGTAGTTTCGGCCATGGCCGGAGTCACCTCTGGGGGTTTCTTTCGTCCCTCTACAGTGGACACTGCTGCTGGAGTCGTGACGCCTTCTGTAGAAGGATCAAGGTGTTCAATGTTTATATTTAAGGTTCTGAATTGTTTCGTTTCGTATTTTTTTTCGTTTGACATCCTTATTTCTTCCGATTTTCAATTAGGCAGAATGCAAAGACGCTCGCTTGAGGTGTCTTGAGAACCGCAGAAGGACAAATACAACCCGGACTTCTTCACTATACGTTTTTCATTACGAACTGCATAGTTTTCGGTATGGTAAGCAGCTCAAGTTCAATACTGCTGATTACTCACCGAGGTAGTAATATGTTCATGGTGCTTCAATACTGACCCGAAGGCTTTTCAAGTTATCGAATTCAGTAGAGCACCCTTGGAATTTACGGGTTCTGACTCGGTCCTGGTAGACGGCAAGACGAAGCTTGAATTCTTTTGAACGTAAGGATGTATTTACATACAGATAACTAAGTCCAAATAGTAAGTCGGCTGGTAGCAATGTATATTGAGGGTCATTCTAGTTAACGACTCATTGAGTCAAGTGGTCCAGCAAGTGGCACTAATACTCAAGGGCAGCTCGTAACAATGACGCGGTTGTTTGAAAGAAGAAAATCTTGTAACACGCTAACGGTCCCTAAACCGATCCGAGTTCGACAAGATACTGGTTTATTTATAACTTTCCCTCTCCTTCCTACAGGTGCTATCTACTCCTCGCCCTTAGTTCTTCGTAAAGCCCGTGAACAATACCAGCAGTAAGCGCGGAGCCTATGAGGATTTTGTGTTTTTCGGCTTCAAGCTATTAAATCCGCTGACGCCGTCGAAAACTCCCAAACGGAAGTGAAATCAGCTTATAGAGTGCGACAGTCATGCCATACATGGCAGAACCGTTGTGCGAATGCATGGCAGAGAATGATAAAACAATTAACAACTTATACTCTTCATATATGAACCAATTATGGGCTCATTTTCTAAAAACATCATGTGAGCAGAACACTGCCGTCACGAATAGTGCCAACAAGAAATGAGTTCGAGGAATGAATTACGCAATCATTCTCTATATTTTCAGAGGTTCAGAGGCTCTTCAATACTGCTGTTTGACATTACTTACCGCAATCGTAATCTGGACAGCACTGGTCGGGAGACTTTGGCAGAGGTTTGCACTCTGGACCGGGTGGCCTGCAGATTCTCTCGGCACAGATTACCTCCCCTTCGAGACAGTTGCAGAAGTGGCAGGGGTTGCCGTCCGGCACCTGGTCACCCTCCTTGTATATCACGCCGTTCACGTCACATTCTGTTCGTGTAGATGTGGAGGCGAAAGCCCATTAATCAACGTTCGTGTTTTGTTTTTTACATTTGTCTAAGTGACCAGTCGTACTTCGCGGCTCAAAAACCAAGCAAGCCGTTACATTATTAGGACTTAATTAAAATCAAAAATTAAGTGGTTCCTGTTTTTTAGACCCTTCTGGGGATACATTTCTAAAACTGTTTATTTATCTTACTCACAGCACACACGGTGGTGAATATTATCTCCTTGAGTAACCGTCATACCACTTTTGAATCAAGAACAAAACTGAGTCATGCAGGAATACAATTGAGTTGCCGTGAACACTAGCTGAAATACAGACGAAGTTATCTGGGGAAAAAAGCTGGAATCTCTAACTTGTTGGAAAAATCTAGCTTTCAACTTTCCAAGATCTCTACGTTATTTTTTGTTCCGTTAGCGCGTCGCCTGTTTCATAGAATTGTGAATGATTACGCAGACGGAGGTGGGCGCCAAAATGGCCATTCATTGCGGTGAAAGGAAAGTAGCTGTGATGCACCAACTTACCCGTCGGGAACTCCTCTTCTGATTCTTCGGTTGTTGCCACTGATGGTGTAGAAGCCTCACTAGGCTTTGGCGTTGTATACATTCCAGGAGACATTTCCGTTTTAGCTTCTGCAGTAGTCACTTCACTGCTCGGCGCTGTTGACGCTTGCGTAGAAGCCTCCGTGGACTGACGTCTCCTCCGCGGCCGTGGTAGACTCCGACGCGCCTGTTGTCACCGTGGCAGTGCTGCCTTTTGTGGTAGCTTCCGAGGATGCGGGTGATGTACTTCCTTCGGTAGCCTCGCTTGACGGAGCAGTGGTGGCTTCCTTAGTCTCTTCCATGGCCCCCGTCGTCGCCGAAACAGGTGTGCCTGGCGTTGTCGGGCTTCCGGTAGATGTAGCCTCACTTGTCGTTGTGGCCTCAGTTTCAGTCTTTGTCGTCACCTCTGATGGCGTTGTTGCACCCTCAGTTGTTGCAGCATCTCGCATCTCAGTAGCACTGGTTCCTTCTGTGCCCGCTGTAGAAGGCAGTCTTGGGCTCTTCCGTGCCTTCTGTTGTTGCTGGAGTAGATCCTTCAGAAACAGCCACCATGGGAGTGGAAGCTCCTTCTTCTGTCGTTCCTTCTGAAGAAATGGGTGTCGATACCTCCATCGTCTCCTTCGTTGTTTCCGGCGTACTTGCTTCTGCCGGTACACTAGATGGTGTGCTAGCACCCTCGGTCTCTGAAGTCTCTGCCGGTGTAGTTGGCGCGGATGGTGTTGTTGATTCTTTCGTCTCCTCCATCGCAGATGGCGTGGTCACTTCGGTAGCCGCCATTGAGGCCGGTGTTGTCGCTTCAGATGAACTTGGTTGAGCCTCTGTGGAAGCAGAAGATTCAGTGGCCGCAGATTCTGACGTCGCTGGCGTCTCAGCTGGAGTTGTGGCTTCAGGCGTAGCGGGAGTTGGGCCCTCGGTTGTTGCTCCCGTGAGCCCAGGTGTTCTCGCCTCATTTGTAGCAGCAGTTTCACTTGCCGTGCTCTCTGCGGGGCTAGATCCCTCCGTTGCCGCTTCAGTTGTCGGAGCAGAGGGAGTTGTAACGGCACTGGTTGGAGACTCAGGAGTTGTAGCTGATGACTTCGGATGTTGCACCTTCACTGCTAGGTGGACTAGTGGATCCCACTTCTGTAGTCGATGCTTCAGAGGTAGACACTTCAGGTGTAGAAGGTACTGAACTAGGCTGTTCGGACGGGACTGCCGTTGATTCTGTGGCAGCAAGCGTAGGGCCTTCAGAAGCAGTGGCTGAAGGTGCGCTTCCCTCAGGTGTCGTAGCACTAGTTGCCTCAGGCGTACTTGGCTCAGGAGTGGTGCTCTCGGGTGTCGATACACCAGGTGTGGTTTCAGCGGGTGCGCTACTCTCAGGTGTGGTAACTTCCGGGGAAGTTCCTGCCAGGGTAGCCGCTCCTGTAGAAGTGCTGCCCTCTGGAGTTGTTACCTCGGGGATGGTCGATGATGCACTGGTTACACCAGGAGTGCTAGCTTCTGGTGTGGGGCCTTCGCTAGAGGTTGGTACTGGTGTTGTTTCTCCTGGACTTGTTGCCTCCGACGTAGTACTTGGTGGAGAAGTGGTCGCTGCTGGGCTGCTTTCTGGCGTTGTGCCTTCCGTAGGTGTTACCTCCGTAGTTGTAGCTTCAGAAGATGTGCTAGCTCCTGGCGTTGTCACTTCTACTGTGGAACCTTCCGAAGATGTTTCGCCTGCCGTGCTTGTTTCGAGTGTACTACCTCCCTGAGGTGTAGTTGGAATGCTAGACTCCTGAGTAGTTGTCTCTGGTAATGTTGTACTTGATGCGCTGGATTCTGGCGTAGTGCTTTCTGTGGGAGAAGATGTTAATTGCTCAGGGGTACTTGCTTCTGATGTAGTGACATCTGGCGAAGTTGCGCTAGGAGTAGTTGCGCCAGATGTGCTAGCCTCTGGCGTGGTACCTACAGTCAAGGGCGGGCTTGTGGCGCTAGGTGTAGTTTCTTCTGGTGTCGTGCCTTCCGAAGATGTTGAAGCTTCAGTACTAGAAACAGGAGTGCTGGCTTCATGGGTACTTGCCTCTGAAGTTGCAGCTGGCGTTGTCACTTCAGGCGTGCTAGCTTCGGGTGTACTGCCCTCAGGAGACGTCATTGCGGGAGTTGTGTCTTCAGCAGTACTGGCTTCAGTTGTTCTGGACTCAGTAGCAGGAGTACTAGCTTCTTCAGCACTGAGATCAGTAGTGGACACCGCAGGTGTTGTTGCCTCTGGAGAACTAGATCCTGGCGTGCTTGCTTCAGGCGTGCTGGATTCTGGGGTACTTGGTGTTACTGTACTGGCCTCAGGGGTACTAGCCTCAGGTGTGCTGGCCGTGGGTGCACTGGATTCAGGGGTGGTGATTTCGGGAGTGCTAGCTTCGGGTGTGCTTGCCGCTAGAGTGCTGGCTTCAGGCGTACTAGCCTCAGAAGACGTCATAGATGAAGTAGTCACGCTAGGCGTGCTAGCCTCGAGTGTGGGGCCACTAGATGTGGTTTCTGGGGTGCTTCCTTCGGCTTCAGTGCCCGTCGAGCCAGTTTCAGCGGACGTCGTCGCTTCAGAACTAGTTGCTCCACTCGTTGTAGTGACATCTGAAGTGGATGTCTCTGGCGTTTCAGCAGGTGTGCTACCAGCAGCAGTTGTCGCACTTGGGCTCGTTTCGGATGAAGGAGCCTCTGTTGAAGCTGGTTCGGTTGTAGCAATTGTCGTCGTCAATCCAGGAGTGCTTGACTCGCTGGCAGTTCCAGTCGAACTTCTTTCTTCAGAGGGACTACTGGACTCGGGTGTCGAAGCTTCGCTAGGACCGGTAGTATCACCACTCGATGTTGTTTCTGGAGTTGTGGACGGACGGTTCACTCGTAGCGCCTGTTTCCACAGATGTCACCTCTGGTGGCTGAGTTGAGAGGGCAGGAGCCGTGGAGCCTTCAGTGGCCTCAGTTCCTGACGGTGTTGTCGCGGATGAGCTGCCCTCTGTAGCTGCTTCTGTGGAGCCTGTCATCGCTTCCTCAGGCTTTTGAGATGAAGGAAGCTTCTTTCTGCTGTCTACTTCTGCTTCGGTTGTGCTCTCTGCGGTGGTAGACTCTCCGACTGACGTTGTGGATGGGGGCTGTGTTGCACTGTGTTCGGTGCTGAGCTCAGTAGAGGCTGGAGACGTGGTGCCTTCGGAAGACGGCGCACTGACTTCAGATGTGGTTTCTGAGGTCTCTACTGTTGGAGGTGGTGTCTTTTTGCTGGTTGGCTCGATGGTAGGAAGCTGCGTCGTTCCTGGCATCTCTTCACCATCTGCATGTATTGAAAAGCGTAAGAAATGTATGCAAAACTTTAGTCTGTATGTGCAGCTTGTAAGTGCCGCAAGGCCTGTCATTGTTTAAATGAATCGCAGAAGCATATGTACTGCACTGGTTGGTTTATGACTTCAAAGGAAACAGCACACACAGAGAGAAAACATGAGACACATGCATGAGTACTGACCAACAACAAAGTGTTTATTCTTTCCCCCACCACACTCGAATAAATCGCTACACTTGCAAGAAAAGCAGAACATACGGGAAAGCTGTGTGCGTGGATGTGCAATGTATCCTCATCGTCCCAAGAGTGTTATCTCTTTCTAAATAAATGAAATTATGTGGAAGAGTAGGACGTGTATATCACTTAAGCCATGTTCTAGCAGGTTCTTTTGTGCTCATGCTGTCTAAATCTTCATTCATGTTCAGAAAACGGAGCAAATACTTTGTCTCATTGATATAGTTCAGACAACTCTAATACACTGTAAACCACTTGACCACCGTAGTATGAATAAAAAATTATCTTACACCACGAAACTTAAGGACTATGTTCTCTCGTACTCTTTCCTATGCAGCATACTGTTAGTGTAGTTTTGTTTCACGTTGAGAGTTGATATAGAGGACATGATATGTACATAATTTTTTGCATAAACACAGATGAACAGGTAGGTTTGTGTCACGAGCCAACTGCTGGCCAAGTCAGAAAAAAATGGCGTGAGACTTCAGCTTACCACAGTTGTACATTTCGGGGCAACATTCTCCTTGAGGTACTGGGCCCGGAATGCAGTTTGGTGCTGGTGGGAGGCAAACCTTTTCGGCACAGATAACTTCACCGTCGAAGCAGCGGCAATATTTGCAGGCATCCGGTGGTGGAACTTCATCACCAAACTTGAAGGTCTGACCTTGGTAACTACAGCCTGCACAGAAGAGGTAACTTGAGTGGAAAGATAGCAGGATGATTATATGTCTTACATACACATTGTTATTGCTATGAATAACGAGAAGAGAGGTGAAGTAATGTTAATAGAAGAAAGTTTCTTCTGCTTCTAATGGCTTAACGCGATACTATCTTTGCATATAACGTGTCATTGGCCGCTCAAAATGCAAATGCAATCAAGTTTCCTTTGTTTCTTAGCAGCAGACCTGGCTAGTCTGCTAAAATTTAGTAATTGAGACTACATATCATTGACACATAACGGTCCCGATCATTTTTGTTGGGTAAAGAAACTCGTACATACATTGAAATGAGCCAAGCAATTATTTCGCACCACGACAGCTTTTGTTTACTAAATTATTCAAGCGCTGATTGAATGTACTAATTGTTTAACATTAGCGTGTCCATTGCGAAAAAGGCATACGAGGCTTAGATTCCTACATTCGTTTCTTTATAAACAACTAAGCTTGCCATCAACAGCTCTTTCACTAGTTGGCGGAATTTAAAACGAGGTTATTTTGTAACAATGGTTTCTCTCTTGACATGACAGTCAGAATGGGTCGGTAAAAGCAACGGCACGCTTTTCACATCTTTCGTTCACCTACCATTCTGTGAATTACTGTGTTCTATTTCGTTATTGCATAACTGGTTGCTTCGTCTTGTTCTTGCACACTTGATTCTGTACAAATCATGTGTTAATTAATGTATTACTGTATACTCTATGTATGAATGAACTAGTCTTCACGTTTTAACATGTAGAAACAAGACATTGACATCTAGCAACATCACCTACCAGGTTCCGCCTCTGGTTCTTCCTCGGAAGAAGGTTCTTCTTCGCGGCCAACGGTGTCTTCCTTCGTCGTCGATACCGCTGGCTCCGCTGGCGTTGTTGCTGATGCGGGTGCCTCAGTGCTTGTAGGTAGACCTATAAATTTTCGACAAAATATCATGTAAAACAGACAATCTTTAGAAAAGCAGCTTGAAACTAATTAGATAGAAATATCAGCATAATAATTACGACTAAAGTCAACATAGGTCTCCTAATCGCTTTTGATATTATGCTGCACACATAATCCAGAAACACGCTCTACAACTTCTACCGTAAATTTTGTCGTTTAAACCTATGAAAATTTTTTCTTTGCACTTGTACATATACAAGTATCTATAGGAGAAACAAGCAGAAGATGTCCCAGTATGCCATGCTGGTCTACACATCCTGTACTTGCCTGTGCTTGGTGTAATAGATGGCTGTTCTGTTGTCATAGGTGCTCCTGGCGTCGTTTCTGGAGTAGGTGCTTCCGTAGTTGTCGGTGCTTTCCTGTGATCTAGAGTTTCAAAGCCGGTAGAGCCTGTAACGGGAGCTTCGGTTATTACAGTCGGCTGGGGCTTCTGCGTTGTTGTGGCTCCTGCCGTCGTCGCAGCCTCTGTAGTAGTTACAAGTTCTACAGTCTTCGTGGTAGCCTGCTCGACTTCTCCCGGTACTTCAGATGTTTTAGGCAAAGGCTGGCTGCTGGTTGGCTCTGCGTACGTAGGAGGCGCCTTGCCCTCGGTCGTTGTTTCTGGCCTAGTCGTCGATGCTTCTGAGGGAGACGTCTCAGCAGCCGTTGTCGTTCGCTCCGAGGAGGGTGTGGGCGTCTCTTTGGTTGAGACTGGTGTCGTGCCTTCTGTCGTGCTTGATGTCTCTGCCGGTGGTGTTACCGATGACGGCTCTTCACCCTCTTCTTTTTCCGGTTCTCCTGCTGTGGGTTCCAGCTCAGGCTTCTCTGCGCCCAGAGTTGTGAGGATATCGCTCGGTGTCACTGGCACCGTTGTGGCTGGCGCTTCTGTAGTGGTGACCATGCCCGTCGTGACTTCAGGCGCGGCGGAAGACACCTCAGTCGTTGAACCAACCTCTGTAGCGGTAGGCGTAGTGGTGGCACCTGGTTCGGTCGTCACACCTGCTGTAGCAGTGGTAGACTCTTCTTGTGGGCGTGTAGGCGTGTATCCCGGAGGTAGTGGCGTTGTCGACGGTGCCTCTTCGTCTCGGCCAGCCTCAGGAGCTCTGGTTGCCGTGGTGATATACGGAGTTTCAGTGGTGGTCACTTCAGTTGCAGATGGTTCCCGTGTAGTAGCCACCTCTGATGTTGGTCCTGTCGATGCAGTCGTCACTTCAGAAGTAATGCCCTCCGTTGCTGTTGGACCTGTCACAGCTTCTGTCATGGAAGTTCCTGGTGCTGTTGGGCCTGAAACACTCTCCGTTGTTGTAGGGCCGGACGCAATTTCCGTTGTTAAATCCACAGTTGCCCCGCTGGTCGTTTCTTCTTCAGTGGCAGGGGACGTTGTGGATGGCTCTACAGTCTTTTGCGCGGTGGTTTCCTCGACCTGGGATGGCGTTGTTACTTCGGCGCTAGTAGTTGCTGATGAGGTTGTGACACTCTCGCTCACTTCTGTATGCACTGTTGTAGCGGCTCCTGCAGTGCTAGTGTCTGATGTAGAAACAGCTTCTTCTGTCACAGATGAAGTCGTCGATGAAGCCTCCCCGGGGATGTGCGTTGTCGTCGGTTCTTCTGGAGTCTTGGGTTCTTGTCTTCCTGAAACTTCGGGCGTCGTGACTTCCTCGCCAGCAGTGGCAGGTTCAGTCGTTTCTCCGCCAGTTGTTGCAGACGGCGTTGTAACCTCTGCGTACGGCGTCACAGGACGCGGTTGTCACAGATTCTGTCACTGTAGATGTGCCTTCAGGTGTTGAAGTTGTTAAAGACGGAGTTGCTGTAGCTTCGGTGCTAGTTGCTGGTGGTGTCGTAGGCGCAGTAGAGGGCTTCATGTCTTCTTCAGTCACGTGCTCTGCAGTAGCTGATGTTTCCGGAGCTCCGGAAGTGACTGACTCAGCTGTGGTTCTCTCACTCGTGGTACCCTCTGTGACTTCATGAGGTGTCGTCGTTTCTGGTGTTGCATATGTCTCCACTTCAGTGGTTTCTGGCGTCGAAGCCACACTGAGAGTGCTTGTTTCATGCGATGGAGTTGTTTTTGGCGTATCTTCTCTTCCGAGATCCGCGACTGTCGTTTCCGCTTCGGGAATCTTAGATTTTGTCACTTCTGTCATTATCTCTGTGGTCGATTCGGTATGTACTGATGGCCCTGTACTGGCCTCTTCTCCCGAAGTTGTTCCTTTCGTGGCCGCTTCAGAAGTTTCTGCGGTAGTTTCTGGTTTCTCTGGCGTGCTAGGCGCTTCCGTTGTCATAGTCACGTCTGTTTGCCTCACAGTCGTCGTTTCTTCTGTAGAGACCTCAGTAAGAGCTGGCGTGGTCGCTGCCTGTGTGGAGCTGACAGGACCTACGGTGATGTCCACACCAGAAGTCGTTGCTTCCTTGGTTACTTTCTCGGAAGACGTTGAGGCACCGGTGGTGACATCTGCTCCTGCAGTCGTTGTTTCTTCGGTAACCTTTTCGGAAAGCGTTGAAGCACCTGTGGTGGCTTCTGTTCCTGGGGTCGTTGTTTGTTCGGTAACCTTTTCGGAAGGCGTTGAAGCGCCTGTGGTGCCTTCTCCTCCTGCGGTCGTTGTTTCTTCGGTAACCTTTTCGGAAGGCGTTGAAGCGCCTGTGGTGGCTTCTTCTCCTGCAGTCGTTGGTTCCTCGGTAACCTTTTCGGAAGGTGTTGACGTGCCTGTGGTGGCTTTTTCTCCTGCACTCGTTGAGTCCTCGGTAACCTTTCCGGAAGGTGTTGAGGTGCCTGCGGTGGCTTCTTCTCCTGCAGTCGTTGATTCCTCGGTAACCTTTTCTGAAGATGTCGACGTGCCTGTGGTAGCTTCTGTTCCTGCAGTCGTTGTTTCTTCGGTAACCTTTTCAGAAGGTGTTGAGGCACCTGTGGTGGCTTCTGCTCCTGCGGTCGTTGTCTCCTCGGTTACTTTCTCGGAAGGCATTGAGGCACCTGTGGTGACTTCTGCTCCTGCGGTCGTTGCTTCTTCGGCAACCTTTTCGGATGATGTTGAGGCGCCAGTGGTGGCTTCTGATCCTGCAGTCGTTGTTACTTCTGTAATCTTTACGGAAGGTGTTGAGGCACCTGTGGTGGCTTCTGCTCCTGCAGTCGTTGTTCCTTCAGTAACTTCTTTTAAAGGCGTCGAGGCACCTTTGGTGACTTCTGCTCCTACAGTCGTTGTTTCCTCAGTAACTTTTTCTGAGGGTGTTGAGGCACCTGTGGTAGCTTCCGCACCTGCAGTCGTTGTTTCTTCCGTAACCTTTTCGGAAGGTGTTGAGGTGTCTGTGGTGGCTTCTGCACCTTCAGTCGTTGTTTCTTCAGTAACCTTTTCGGAAGACGTTGAGGCACCAGCCGTGACTTCTGCTCCTGCAGTCATTGTTTCTTCAGTAACCTTTTCTGAAAACGTCGAGGCACCAGTGGTGGCTTCTGCCCCTGAAGTCATTGTTTCTTCGGTAACTTTTTCTGAAGGCGCTGAAGCGCTAGTGGTTACATCTGCGCCAGCAGTCGTTGCCTCTTCGGTGGCTTTTTCGGAAGGCATTGACGCTTCCGTGGTTTCTGCTGGTGTACTTGCTGCTCCTGTGGTCGAAGGCCCCTCGGTGTGTGGTGTTGTTACTTCTTCTGCGACACCTGTGCTCGGAGTGGCGGGCGTTGTCGAAGCGTCTGCAGCCTCGGTAGTTTTTGGCACTGTGCTGACTCCTGGAGTTTCCGATGAAGCCTCCTCCGTCGCTCCTGCGGTTGGCGCTGTTGTGACTCCGGGAGTCGCTGACGTTTCTTCCATCTTTGGCGTACTTTCTTTGGCATCGTACGGAGTCGGACTTTCCGTTTCCGCTGGCGTGGGTGACGCCGATGGTGTACTCGTAGCTACGGCTTCTGGCGTCACGGTTGCAGCCGCGGCAGTAGTTGGTGTTTCTGGAGCAGTTGTAAAGGCAGCCGTAGATTGTGTAGTGGCTTCTTCCTTGGCAGCTTCAGTAGTTGCTGCCTCTGTGCTCATCGTGGGTGTAACAGAGCTTACTGGCTGCGACTCAGTAGTCTCCGGTCCCTCGTCCTCGCGTGGTCCTTCGGCAGTGGTCGGCTTTTCCGTCGATGACAGTTCGGTGCTTGCAGTCACGGACTCCGTGGTTGCTTCTGATTTGGCAGTAATTTTGGGCGTCGTCTCCTCGGTCACTGATGGCCTCGTCGTTGTCTCTGCAGGAGTGCTTGGGCCCCCCGTCGACGTCTCGAATACTGCAGGTTCGGTGGTTTCTGCAAGCATGCACATCAGACAAATGGGTGGAGCAAATTATAATAGAAACATATACTTAAAACAAATTTCGATACAGGAAAATGACTCATTAATTTCTTTAATATATTACATACCTTTTGCGGCGACTGTCGGTGCAGTTGCACTGGCCAGTTCTGGCGCACCTGTTGTTATTGAGAAACGCGTAAATGTAGTGTTAGATTCGCAGCATAACTTTTTCTTGAAAAATGAAAGAGAGTGAAAGCAATTTTTTTGATTAAGTAAACAGTGTAATTCACACCTGCAAAAATATGACAAGTCGCTAAGTTAATACCGCTGGGCTTTGCGACACAGTTTGACAACAAGTGTAATCAACTTGTCCTGTGATCAGGCAGACTAACAGTGCTATGGCAGCACACTCAGTTGATAGTAATTTTGTACATAAACAACCTAAGAAACTTATACGTGTGCTTTGAGTTTTCATTGGGACTGCTGGGGCGAAGCCGTAGTCAAAGGAACCATTAGTAATGTTATGCAGGCCCCGTGTTCGCCAGAATTCTTCGGGACCACTGCTACTACCTGTTGCTGCATGCTCTTTAGCCATAAAAAATGATATTTCAAGAGCAACACAATATTTATTGGAGTGAAGCTTTCGCGCTGACGCTTTAGCATTATGGAATATCTATCAGTTCGCTCCCACACTTTGCTGCAGTATATTTCTAGTTCATCGGGCTCTGCTAGTTGTACAAGTTTCACCACTTCTGCACCGTCATGTTTGTCTGGTGTGCACTTTTGGCACTAGAGCTTCAACAATATAAAATACCGAATAACCGCGCATCCACATCTAGCTTTAGGTGAGGTTAATGATTTTTGGGCTTCACTGTGCCAGCTCAAGCCGCATGTTTCCATATTTCATCTTTTTGCGTGCTACGTGCTCAATGCTGGCCCTCTTTTAACTCACCCTTTTTCTGGCTGCACGTGCCGAGTTATTGTGGTTTATTCTTGTATTTTAACGCGACAGCGTCAAAGAGTTCGTGTCGCAGAAAACCAGCCGCCGGCGTCGGCCCCGTAAGTTGTGAGAGAAAAATCGTCTATGCGTCCGTGACCGAAAAATCAAGTTACCAAGATAGCTGTGGGAGGCCGCTACTTGTCCACGCTTGCACGCGTGATCACACTGAAAAACGCCGCACATTCGAAGAAAAAAAAGTGCTCAAGGTCACCCGGCGCGGTGGTTTCTTTCGCCCTGCAACCCCTCCCATCTTAGCTTCCAGCGCTTTCGTCAGGACGAGAGAGGAGATAATGCAATTGCAGCATGCGACAAACCTTTGTAACTCCACTCGCACTGGACGGATTCTTAAAATTTTTGCGGCGTTGAATTCGTGAGGCAAAGAGCTCTTCGAGTGAGTTCTTTCCATGGTTACTTGAAAAGGTGTTTGAGGGCCCCTTCAACGCATTTTGTTCGAAAATGAGCCCGTTCGGCGATAATAGTACGCTCTGATCCAACCTACTGTATGCGTGTTTGTGTGCGTGCGTGTGTATGCAACAAAACATATGAATAAGTATGCACTTAGCGATTGAAGGGTGCACTAGGGGCCGGATTTCGCTATCGCGTTCAAGGCGAAGCTTAAGGGTCCGCCAATTTCCTTTGTTCCAATAAAGTATACAGCTTCCGCGGATGCCTTAATGCCCTTTAATAACTAGTGCACTTGTAGTCCAGCTGCCTTTCGTTTGTCTCACTAAGCTCGTACCTTCGGTAGTGGTGCCTGTTGGGACACCGGTGGAAGTCGCTGAGGACGCGGGTGGCGTAACCGTGGTAGTTCCGGCTGGAGTCGGGGTCGCTTCTGTAACACCCTTCTTTCCTTCCACAGTTTCGGACGTCGATGGCGTCGTTTCTGCCGGGCTCGTCGCCCCCGTTCCCGGCGTCGTTGTCATGTCGGATGCTGCATAAAACACGACCGAGAATGATAACGTCCCAGTTTGGCCACTGCTAAGCCTTCGCCTTAAACAGTGTGCTCAGAAGCTAAGATGACGATTCCTTAACATCATTCTAGTCATACCACCTAACTAGGGGGGTGAGTGAAAAACGTCGCCTTATGTCAACTCTGAGGGACACCTATTCAGGGTGAATTATCAAGAGCACAATTTAGGAGAAGGAGCGAGCCATTAAAGAAACTGATACTTGACTGATTCCAGGCAACTGTGCACAAGTGACTGCGCACGCAATTGCTGTGCACTGTTGTTTGCATCGCATCTAGGTACCTTCTATTGTACTTCACTGGGGAAGGGATATTCCGCTAAGTACCTAACACGTAAAATCTCCAGGAATTATGGCTGGCCAGACGCTCGCTTTGTCGCCTTACTTAAGATTCTATGCCTCTACATTTGTCCGCTGGGTAGACGCTTAGCCACATAGCTGCGCAAGAAGGACATAGCTTAGTAGCTCAGGTCGAAGACTGCTTTAAAAATTTAGCTTGGTGGCAGAGCATTGTAGCTCAGATCGAAGGATGTTTAAAAGAACTAAGCTTGATGATTATACTTCTGAGCTTTCATTTTGCCTCCCGCTACGTAAAGGTTTTTACGATACACGCATTAATGCTTGTACTGCATATTTTGAATTAAGCACACGTAACTAGTGGAATATGAACTAAAAAGACCGTAAAACTTTGATTCGTAAACATCTACAACATACGTAGTTTTTAGACTTTCTTAAGTTTTCTTGTGTGTGCGGGTTCTTTCTAAGGTACACTGTTGTGACCAAGAGAAATTCTAGGCAGAAAAATACCTAAATCTAAGCAAAACTCTGTGGGAGGTAGCCTATAGCATTTTTTGCAATATAACTCTCTGAGTCTATCACGCACAAACGTAAAAAATAAATGTATAGATATATGCATACTAATTTGTTTTTGATATTTCAAAGGAATAAGCGTAGGCGTAGTCAATACGCCTGTATAAGAAATTCACAATTGGTATCGCGTGAGAAATTGTGAGCAGAAGCATCGGCAGCACTCACGGCATTCGTATCGCATGGGACAGCAGTGTCCTGGTTCCGTTGGCATGGCCACACATCCATCCGATGGCGCTTTGCATTCGTTCACCGCGCACACCACTTCATGACGCATGCAGTAGCAATGCTGACACGGCTCGTCAGAGGGCACCTGTGCTCCGTCTTCGTAGAACTTGCCCTTGTGCATGCAGCCTGATAGTGGGTGAGAACAGCATAGCACAATAAACTTACACAACTCAAGAATTGTTTTGAGATTACATGGAGAAAATGTACGTGTTAGTGGAGTACATCAACAACACTGGCCGCCATTAGGCGGCACTAGCCTACACACAGTCTAGGCGTGGCCACATTGGTCCACGGTTGCTATAAGGCCAGCAGACACTGAACACAATTCAGCCATAACTAGTCACAAGTTAACCATAATTTCTATAGATCCAAAATTGACTACTGCTAACCTGCGTCTGTAGAATCTGAGTATATGCGATAGCTGAATTTGGTCAAAGAGAGAGAGAGAGAGAGAGTAATCATTGCGAGAATCGCGTACAAAGTTCCTCCTTGCGGAGAGTATGTGGAAGAAGCCCCGTAAGACATTGCCAACTAAATAACTCGAGCCTTCGCGCTGACAAGAACCTCTTATACGGTAGTCGTAAGAATGGTAACTATCAAAAAGTTTCTGATGTGCGCAGTTCTCTTTCTGATCAACATAGCCTCGCAGTCATTCATCAATCGGCTCTCTACAGCAGCTCGTGCTTCTGTGTATAAGGAAGAAGTATTCATACTGAACCTCGCCTTATTAATTGAATCATTATCAACGACTTTGTGGATGGCTGATTTAACAAATTCTAGTAATTAGGCGCCTTACTTTAGTTACAGGATAATGAATATACGCTAAGTTATACGTTAATGCATGCTTTGAGCAATGACAGCTCTTCTGAAGTTTTTAAAGATGAACAAGTTTATATTCACGATCACGGTACTAAATTGCAGATGTCTCAGAAAACACTGTTAAAGGAATCGTCAAGGGATGGCTTACCGATCGGAGGAGCTTCAGTTGCCAACAGACCAGGTGGAACAGTAGTGGCAGCTTCCTCAGCTGTATAGTGAAAAAAGGTTTGCGTTTTAGTGCACATCTAGAGGCCAATATAGTGTTGGTACGCCTCGTATCGTCCCTTTGCACAAACTAAGCAAAACACTTATATATATATATATATATATATATATATATATATATATATATATATATATATATATATATATATATATATATATATATATATATATCCTCAGCTGGCTAACTGTGCACACAAATTCATTCTTTGGCTTCCTGTAAAGCTGTCTTATCCTTCAAAACTATGTTGATGCGACAAAGCCGCTCTGCAAATAAACTTTCTGAGCATACAATAATTGCGTGTTCTTTGTTGTAGAATAAAGCTCACTTAAGTTAAAGAACTATGAAATAGAAGAGAAATGCTATAATTGTATGTGGTAACAGTGGTTGCGATTAGTAAAAAAAAATAGAAGGGGAAGCGGAATAGAAAAATAAAAATAAAAGTAAATAAATGGCTTGTTGATTGGCGAGTTGGTGTAGTAGTCTAGAAAAAAGGCAGCACTAAAAAAGAAAAGACACATTTCCGGCACAAAAAAGGTCATAACAAAGATAAATTGAATTTTCGTGGTTTTCGTTGAGTTCTAGATATCGAAATATAAAGTTTGTACAGTTACCTACGAACTATGACCCCATTTATAAGCGTCTGTGTCGGTGCCACTGATCTTGTTCATTTGCATTGATTTTCTACCCTATCATGCTAGGAACTAAGGTAATAAGCGTGGAAAGAAACGCTGCAAGTATGTACTAAATGGAATAGCCAAAGGTACAATGATGAGAATTGTATTGTAGTTGCGATTAGCGAAATGCACAGACGAGTTACGAAACAAAACGACAGGACATGTAGTGTGCGGACAGGTGGTGCTCCTTGTTACGTTACTCGTCAGTGCATTTCGTCAAGTTACACTGCAGCAGAATGCCGTAACACGTAGCCCAGTGTGAAACTTGGCTAAATGATGAGAAACCGCCTGAAGTGCGGGTATACACTATACTCACTGCAGTTGTATCTCGTGGGGCAGCAGCTGGGCCTGGAGAACACGGGCGAGCAACCGTCCACGTGGAGTTCGCAGTCCTGTAGCACGCAGGCGCTGCTGTTGCGGATGCAGTAGCACACCTCGCACGGCTTCTTGGGGTCCCTGGGCATTCGCGCTCCCTCCGAGTAGTGCTTGCCGTCGATGTAGCATCCTGCGAGAGCGCCAAGCCCACTTCGTGTTACAACGTGCCACTTAGCACACACTCCACAGTGTGCATGCAGTGTTGCACGGGCGCGTTATAGGAGGTAAATGGTGCTCTGCAGCGCAGTGTAATTCTGTTTTTGTGCACTTCTGTGCAAGCCTGGCTTTAAGGTGTAACACTCGGTGTGCGTTTAACACAGCAATAGTACCTTGTAAGTTTATAACACCAATAAGAAGAAGGACATTGTTATCATCGGGCAATTTTGACTGTGTACTGGGCTACAATGGCAGTGCAGCTACCGTGGAATCGATATCATGCTCAGGTTCATCTTACGCGAACATGGCTGATTTGTTCTAAACAACTGCAGGCAACAAGAATATCGGCTGCCTTGCAGGATTTTTTTTTTTTCGAGCTTCGCAGCTGATAGGCAGAAAATTCTATTCTGGTTGAAGCTTGTTTGACATATGATGGGTGTATTAGTAAAATTGTGAGCCATAACAAGAACAACGGACTGCATTTTCTTAACGAGTGACACCCGCAGCTTTTTGCTTGTTAAACTAAACATGCGAGCACATTAATTCTTAGACTTCGAAGCATGCATGAAGTAACCCATATTCATAGGCGTTAAGTTTAACATTAAAACATCCAATCAATTTATAAAAAATACAAAATTATTAGCCAAATGCCAAGACAGCGAGGGCAGCTCGCCAATTTTAAAAAGACATGCAAATAAATGCTCGCACATACCTGCCCCTTCATCGGCGGATGGAGCTTCTGTTTCCGGCTCGTAGAGGGCGGTAGGTACCGGCACTGAAAAGAAATGCAGCAGGGAAACTCCCGGTTGCAGACGCTTGTCTCTGTGTCGCTACTCCGAGAGCTGCAGGCTCAAACCCTAGTGGCCGTTTAGAGTATCCAACCACTCAAGGAAACGGTGGTCTTGTAGTTTACAGACAGACGAATGTTGAAACACACGTCCTGATTGCATGTACTTATCGTACGAACCTGAGTTATGCCCCATTGATTGATTGATTGATTGATTGATTGATTGATTGATTGATTGATTGATTGATTTCTTTTAGAGCGTCCAAAGGAAGGACTTACTGATAATCTGATCTATTAAAATATTTTTCCGGTGTCATATGGTAGCATTGACACGTAACGCCCACGAATTGAAAATTTAGCAAAAATATTTCAGTAAATCGTAGGGTGCAAGCACGAAATATGCTAACTTGAAGCGTTCCCTACTAGCAAAATCATTTTTTGTTAGAACGCAGAAGCGTACATCACACGTCAAAGCTCAGATAACATATTGCACAATTCGCACAACGACACTTCGTAGGAGATTAACTGTCACATTCATTACTATTGTGACGTAATTGGATTTATGAATATTCGACATAAGTCGCACGTTTGTATAGCTTACTTTGATGGCAACAGACGTCGCAAAATGTTAAAGTGCAATAACGACAGTGCATTTCCTTACGAATGTGCTTAAACTAACATGGTAAGAAAAAAAAACACCTTCACAGCGTATCAAAAAACTGCTGCCGATGCCGCTGCTACTGCAAGAATATTCACCCTCGCCGCCTGTAGCATAAATAAAAGCTTGTCCACCTGCGCGCTTGAAGCACAATTCTTAAACGGCGTACACATTCTGCATGTTCACAGATATTGGCCTTCGTAACGTTAGTTTGAATCCTCTACGTTGTTAAGCAGGTCTTGCGCATACGTTTAATGTCAATCGCCATCGCGTCGATATGTGACGGAGAGTGAAAGAGTCGTCTAAATAAAAATGACAGTGGCCTTGCTATGTCTGCGCTAGTTACTATGTCAAGGGCAGCACCACTCTTGACACTACGTGGAATATTCCACCGGAATTCATAGAAGACAGAGAGTGATGGAAAAAAAAAGGAAAACGGAGCTATAACACAACTGGCAAAGACCGTGGGGATAAAAAGCGAAAAAATCGAAAATTCCACAGAGGGAAGGAAGACGCGGGCGGCTTCGCGTGATCCTCGTGAATTAGAAATCGCACGCCACGGACTCGCCCTTTTCATATACGTGTAGGCGTTTCCCCCCCCCCCCCCCCCAAAAGAAACCGTTGACAAGGTCGACAGGTCACGACTTTGGACAGACTTTCACTCCAGCAACTAGAGAACAAACTAAAAACGTGGTGGAAAAACAAGCTTATGCAGGCATGTACTTTATCGATAGGTATACACATTTCAGAGGTTTAGTGAAAGAGTGTAGGTCGAGGGAACAAGGAAGACGGGGAGATTCGAGAATAGGATAGCGAGACGTTGCCAATCTCGGCAAATTATACACGCGAGCACCTGTTAGGTGCCAGCAGCCTTGAAAAAGGGAAAAAAAAAAAGGACGGATCGTTGCTTTTATCTTAGCACCACGGCGCGGTCTGCGTGCGAAACAAGGACTCGCATAGCGGGAAACAAGCGCTCGCCCCCTGCGCGCGTGTTGCTTCGGCTTACGATCTTCGTGGCTCGAGATTTGAGAGGGGGTGCGCGTGTGGCGCGCACTGGAGTGGCAGTGCGCGTTTCTTGGTGCCACCGCTTCTCTCTGTTTTTCTGATAATGTAGCCTTGTTCGCCGATGCTTGTTGATTACTGCTCGTAAAAGTGTGCGGTTTAAAGGGATAAACAGATAGGGGACGCTAGGATAGTAAAAGACGCCCCTGAATTCTGTAGGAATGTCTTGTCCATTGATACCAAGGCTTCGTTAGCGGCGAATCCCAACACCTACTCATTGATAATGTTCCGATGGAGGCGGAAATGTTGTACGCCCGTGTGTTCAGATTTCGGTGCACGTTAAAGAACCCCAGGGGGTCGAAATTTCCGGAGCCCTCCACTACGGCGTCTCTCATAATCAAATGGTGGTTTTGGGACGTTAAACCCTACATATCAATCAATCAATCTACTCATTGATAATGCACGAAGCTTATACTTCATCTACGAAGGTCGATGCAGCTTCGAAACGAACCTCAATCGATGTCGTTTTTATTGGTACGTGAAATCGAATCTTCCTGTTTCCTTGTCACCTGGCTTTCCTTGTTTGATTGTTTGTTTGTTTGATCGTTTGCTTGCTTGGTGTCCTGTTTATTTGTTGCCGCTTGGCAGATAGGTAAAACAGTGAACTCACTATTATAGCTTACGAGACTTACTCTCAACTTTGTTGTGTGCATCATCGATAGTGATACCGCAGCGAGCCCGGGAAATAATTTGTCATACCGATCTCGAGCGACTGCCGAGCGTTTCAGCTTCACCTCATTACCTCTATTAGCCTTCTTTTAAATACGGGCATGTCCGTTACTTGTACTAGGCGACAGTAAAGACGCAACGCGCATGAAAAATGGCTCCAGCGTCGTGCAATGGAAGGCGCTAACGATTCACTTCCGATCCGCTGCGAGGCATATTCCGATTTAGCAGCCTCGGGTTTTTCGTCATTTCTGTTCCTCGGTGGCTGCGCCGGCGCAGCTCTTGGCGTCGCCCGCGTGTCCCCGGGTGGAGTTAACGCACGAAGCGCGGCATCTCTCGGCGTCCTCGGGCGTGCCTGTTTGATTTCCCATTCGTCACGTTTAACTTCGCCTCCGCATACCGACGTCTCCTTTCCTGATATCTTGCTTTCCCATTCCCTACCTTTCTCGCCAACGCATTCTTTTTTGCAAGTTTTTTGTCGCCATTTATGCAGACTTGCGATACACTGATACGCATTGCTTTTATTTGCTTTGATCGTGGTCAAAGTCTTGCTTTAATTTTCTTTACATTTTCATTAGGTGATAGTCGGTTTCTTAACAATGATGTTTTGTAGAAGGGTTGAGAGGCGGGCTAGTTAATATGTATTCATAATGAAATATTGGAACGCAATCTAACGGGACACAAGAGAGGTGCTCGTTTGTCTTGTGTCCCGTTAGTTTGCGCTCCCATTATTTCATTATAATTAACGTTTAGTGTTCCGTATGGCTCGTTTAAAGCGTCACGCTAGCTGTGTTCTGTACTGAACACCTCATGCAACACTCTGCATGGGTGGAAAACAGGCAGAATACACTATGTTCATGGAGCACAGTGTGTGTGTGGAACACACACAAAACACACTGCGTCTCGTACTGAACACCACACGAAACACAATGTATGTGTTGAACGCATACAGAACAGCATGTTTGTGTTCCGTATGGAACTCGTATGGACCCAGGTGGAGCCCCACAGCGTTCCGCAATGCTTCGCAAGACCAGCAGCGGTAAGTATCTTCCGCAGTGATACGTACATTGTTGCACATGGCTGGTGACCTTCGTCTATCGGACCAGCAAAATTGACTTGGTACAGGGGATCTTACTAAATACAAAAGGTTTGGTTTTCGTGAGCTTTTGCAACGATATATTCTGAATTGTCGTGCCGTAACGTCAATTAGCAACTTGCGAAACACCAAATTTAATTCCACAACCTGCTTGACGCATATGACCGTACTGTAGTGCCGTTCGTTTATGTAGTTGTTCGTGTTGGTTAGTTTTAAGAAAACTGTTCATACATCTTTCTTGTGCTTCTTTTTCCCTCTATATCCTTTCCTTCTCATTATTCCCATTACGAACCACCCCCCTCCCTCCCAAGTGTACGGTAGATAACCAAGCCATAGTTGGTTAAGCTCCGTAGCTTTTCTCTTCTCTCTCTGTAGACAAACAGAAAGGCAACGTTAATAGCTCGATATGGCAGCACTTAAGTTCATCTGTGAATTCGACTATATAACGCTTGTCTTGCTTAACGACCAGCTAACTCGCTCAGGAGCCTTATAGGCGATGTGGTGAATGGATAACTGAAATCTTCTACTTTTCTATAACAGACCCACAAATACCACTGTCGGAAGACTGCGTAGCCAGATATAGGAATCTATGCAAGTGGAAGCCGTGGTGTTCACGACGCGGAAAGCTCGGAATTTGTATGAGTTGCGTAATTTTTAACATCTTTCATTAAAGTTATCAAAAAGAAAAGACCAAACTGTAGCAAACACGTGTGTTCCTTCACGCCCAACGCATGTGCTGATGAAAGCTAACGACGATTTCAGTAGGAACGTATCATTCAGAAAGTGGGTGGGGGTACGGATTTAAGAGTTAGTATCTTAAGGTAGCATCGTGCGATTCGAGCTTTTTACATTTCTTTAAGTGATCTCGGAGGCCGAGAAAATGCCTCGTATACATCCCACGCGTCTTAATTCCACAAAATATACCACACCCAGGTCGCATAAACTCTTTTGATATGTGAGGTTTAACGTCCCAAAACCACCTTATGATTATGAGAGACGCTGTCGTGAAGGGCTCCGGAAATTTTGAGCGCCTGATGTTCTTTCAAGGGCACCCAAATCTGAGCACACGGGCCTACAACATTTCCGCCTCCATTGTCGCATAAACTCTTCACAACGGCCTTCTTCTTTTGAGAAATAAGTGTTCCTTCCCTTCTCCTTTCCCGCCCAGCCTTTTCTTATTGAATGCCGCCGATACCAACAGTGGTTAGGGGAACATCTCAGGATGTATTACCTGACGAAGGCGCAGTATACTCCTTCGCTGCGCAGTAATCTGCAGCCGTCGAACACAATCAAAACCCTCTCTCTCTCCTCTTTTCTCTCTCTCTCTACCTCTATGCTGCCGAGATACTTATCTGAGGGCACCGCTGAACGTTTCCTTTTGGATACACCTACTCGTGCACGCGCTCCACCCGACCAAACGCAGGGCGTTCGAAAGTTTGGCGTGGCGTGTCCGGTACGAATTTATTGCCTCTTGTCTCTCTCTCTTTCTTTCTCTCTCCTTTTCTTTCTTTTTTTATCCTTTTCTCCTCCTTCTTCCTTTCACTCGCCATGCCCTGGAAGCTCATCCTGGCGGCGAGGGTTAAAAGAAAAGAGCGTTGACCCTCAAAGTCCACTTCCCGCCTCTTACACACACCCGCAGCAAAAAAAGTGGAAAGAAGAATTCAGAACCTGACTGGGTTGGAGGGGGGGGGGATGAGTGGGGGAGACTGTTGCCAGTGCAAAAGTCTCCGGTTAAACGTCTCGACCGGTGGCAAGGTTCGAGTCAGTGCAAAAGTCTTTATCGATACAGGGGAGACTGCAATTAACAAGGCCTCCGCGCATATCTTCTTGTACACGCCAACTTAGTACTCGCTCCACTCCAGTGCTTTGGCGTCGCGTTTTATTGCCCCAGAGAAAGGAGTACGCAGCCCTATAAGATAACCTATAAAAAAAAAAGTAACTATCGGCCGATCTGAACACTCCGTGTGCGTCATGTCCCGGTATGCATGCTTCTGGGGCTAGTGAAGTGTCTCTTATAGAGCAGTCGATGTGGCACTCAAGCTGTGCGCACTATATGTTCTACTATATTTTGTTTTTCAGTCTGTATCTTCTTGTGCGCAACTGGCCTCACTTTCGGGGTTGGTCGTTCACTGATGGATTGGGTGAGAACCGCAGCTAGACTTCAGTGCGTCGCTTTACAGCTTTCTTGTCATGGAGGCTGGCTTCGTGCGGTATTTGTAGTGGTAATTGTTGGCCAGCGCGTTCATGCAGTAGCAAGATGAGACTAGAAAAAGAGCAAGCACTGTGTATTATGAACGTTGCTTTGTGAATGTGTGATAGTATGTGTTTTAAATCAAGCTGCTTCCTGGTGTCATCCCTGTCACTACGTTTTGTGTGGACTCTTATCAATCTGTAGTCTCTCGTATGTTTTTGAAATTTTAGAGACAATATGAGTAATGCAGTAACCAGCATACAATAGTCGACATTTTCTTTGCTTTGTATTACTGTTGTCAGAAATATGGTACAGAAGGCGTCCGGTGAAACGAGGCATTGGACCAAATACAGAAAGCAGCAGTGGCGTCAGCAATGTCAGCAGCAATTGAGCACGACAATAGCTCGCTCCATGCCAATGATTTCGGCATGGACATTCACTACGCTGTGAGGGTGTTTTCAGTCTAGTAAACAGCCTGCCTACAGCTTCAAGTGCTTCACTACTGGCAATAATGTTTTTTACATACATTCCAACAGAAAGAAACACACTTGAATGTCTAAATTCTGGGATGCGTTTGCACAGAGATAAACCAAGATCACGTACACACTTGAGCCCTTAAACATTTCGGCAAGAGAAGACATTCAGATTCACGGCATTCATGAATAGTTGAACACTAGCACTGTAATACTTCGTCAGTCACATTGCGACGACTAGATTGACCATAAAAGTTGTGTATGTGCAAGAGCGGCATCGTTGTAGCGATTGTTTTGCTGAAGCCACCTCCCGCAAAGACACCAGACCTTTTCGTTATTCTTTTGTCATAAAACCTATCGGCATAGCGATTTCGGAAACACACCTGCTGATATCTGACGCATAACTCTGCCCGACAACTGTACGAAATGTACGGAATCTTTTTCACAGCCTTCTCTTGTCAGACATGTTGCTCGAAACTTCAACGGTGGCGCATAGCTTCGATACCCTGATTAGCACTGCTAGTTCCATACAAAGCTCCAGTCGGGATGCTATCTCACAAGAGTGCTGCAGTGTCGATTTTGTCAAGTAGTTAATACAAATCGACCGAATCTGCTTTGAGCATCAAATTAACTTGCAATGCTCGTCTCCGAAATTTTAACTTGGTAAAAAGGACCTTACTCGAAATGTTGTTAAGCGTTGTGGCAACATAGGTACCATAACACCATCATACAGCACCGAGCATTCTTATACATTGCTACATTCACTGAAAGTTTCTATTAAGCAGAGGAAATGGGAAAATAACGTTTTGTCAAATTAAGAGCAGCAAAGCGCCGATCACGCTTCCCTCGATAGCGATTTCGCGTTTGTAGGGATGGTGACTCAAGACTGAAAATCAGGCTGAACCTTCGTCAGCGCCTTTCACTTTTGTTTACACTCATTTCGTTTCGCTGTTTAGTTGTTATGTACACTTTAAAAAAACGTTTAACTTTGTGGACTTGCGTTTAAATTTGATCCAGCGCTGTGACAATTCAGCAAAACAACCAACCACAACTTGCATGGCAGAGTCGCTCCAGTTCTTTTCAATACAATTTTCGCAACCACACATCGTATCTTCCGACTAGTCCTAGGTTGGCAGTGCAGTTTTCATGCAGAGCGGGGAACTGTTTTCCTTCGTTGTGCCTACAGGGTTAAACACATGTGCGGGGAAACCATAAGCTCAGGAAAAAAAAGGTGACCTGTTGCGTGCAAAAACAATCGAACTCGGCTGAAAAAACAAACAAATAATACAAAAAACATGCCATGTTAACGCTAGACGCATGCACATGCGTGACTAATGTAGAACGGTCCCTCTCTTATTGTTATCAGGTGATAAGTTCAACTCAGAGAATGTCATTGGTCGTTAATCGTTTGTCATGCCATATGCCGCTAGACACGAAAAGAAAAAAATGCTTAACACTGTTTTCATTATATATCGCAGTGCTTCATCCTTCCGTTATCAGCCACACCAAGCCATATATATGGGCATTGATCATCTATTATTGCCTCAACAGTGAGATTACAAGCACATGTGCACTGTTTTCATAAGAAAATGTATCAACTGCTCTTTCTGTGGCTCACACTATCTTGAGATATTCGTTTTGAGCCTTCTTGAACTGGATACCTCTCATGAACTGTGAGTGGACAGGAGTAGACCGAACTTGAAGGCGGAGCGCTTGAACACCATGTCAGATTTGAAATAAAGTTCAATGTGTGACACGCTCTTTTCACTCCACACAAAGAAACAAAAGTGTGCCATGCACCAATTGCTTGTATACACTGTGAACGACTCAATAACTCGCAAACGACGCTAATATTTCAAATAATGAGCGTCTTTAATGTCCTCCACGGACGAAAAATGAAGAAGAAAAACCTTGTCTATTGAATGATTTAGAAAACGTCAAGATTGTTTTCACTCGCTCGACGGGCGCCATCTAAAGGTCAAAATTACGACTTGCTTTCTCTTCATTATATGAATTGGCAAACAACGTATAAAACAGAACTGCATAGTCGAGTGATTCCATCAGCACGACGCCGTCCTTGTATAGGTTTACGAGATTTGCGTTTCTTCAGCCGAGTGATTTTTTTTTTTTAATTGTGCAGGCAGTGACAGGTCTCACACGTGCAAACCAGTGGCGCATCGAACCTGCGTGCCGTGCCGGGAGGTGAACAGTGCACATACACCAGCTTGCGCCAAAGAAAAATAAGTAACAAAAACGAGAAAAAAAATGCATGCGGTTAGTAACGGGGTGCACCCCAGAAGGTAAAGCATGGGTGCACACTGCTCCGAGGACCACAACGCTTTGTAGCACACGTTTAAACTTGGTATGCGCTGTCAAGGAACGGGATTTCAGGACACGGTATCACTAATTCTCAAATTTTAGGTGATGTTTCGCAGTTAGAGTTGCCGTTATTTATCGTGTCTTTTTATTACCAGTTAATACGTAGCTTGCAGCCACCGTACTTGCAGTTCAGCCTTCATACAAAGTATAAAATAAGGAGAAACTGGTTCCATAAACGTTATTTTATATTCTGTCACACATTATTCAACAAAGAGCGAGATGAATTGAGTCAATATCCTATGCACACTTCGTCAGACTGAGCAAGGCTAGCTAGAGCAAGTAATACTTTTGTAAACGACTCAAGTATCGAGCAATGTTAACCTTAGTGCCTGGTTAGGCAATGCGTTACATATCGATATACTACGCTTATAGTTTCGCCTTGCCTAGAAAATTCTAGAACAGCCAGCTCACTACATCTATCTCTGCCAGAACGGCATTGTGTCACTGTCATTCAATGCCCTACGAGGATATAGAGGTCAAGGGCGTCAAAGCGTTGCGCTCCCGCGAAGCCATCCATTCACGCAAGACACCGCCCAGGACAGGGGAAGAACACCCAAAAGGTTGGGGCAAGATTTGGGGCTCCCAGGATTGCGTGGGGTTCGCATGTTTGACACCAAGGGTGAGGGTTGTGCCCGGGATGATGGGATGTGCCAGACAACACAGACGAGCTGCGTTACGTTCCTGAGCAGCAGTTTGCTTTCTTCGAGCAGTTTCTCCTCCTCCAGTCCCTTTCCTCCCTTTCCACTCCACTCAGTAGGGTAGTCAATGGGATATTTGTACTTATTAACTTACCTGCATTAGAAAATGTCTCATTTTTTCTACCTTCCCACCTTTCCATTTCCCCTAGTGTGGCCCTGACATAGGGTAGGGAACCAAAAGTTTCAGTAAATCTCTCGTTTTGCTAATTTTCATCTATCCTTTCCCTATCTCCTCGTTTGATCTATCTATCTATCTATCTATCTATCTATCTATCTATCTATCTATCTATCTATCTATCTATCTATCTATCTATCTATCTATCTATCTATCTATCTATCTATCTATCTATCTATCTATCTATCTAATCTGCTCAAGACGAAAAGCTTTATGTTTGCTCCATGCTGCTCCCAAAGGTGTGCAAGGCGTTTGCTGGGTAGTGCTGAGTAGAAAGGGGGAAACGGGGAGGAAAAAGGGAGAGACATTTTTGGAAGGCGAAGGGGGTCGGCTCGCCGCCATTTTTGCCACCGCTCTCCGGGGTTTCGTGCGTGCAAGGGAAGAGGTCGGGGTGGGTGACCTAGGTTAGTCGAAGAAGATACGTGCTCGTGGTCCGTACCATGCGCCCCCAAAGTGTCTGGCCGCTCGGCGGACGTACCGGCCGGGCAGGCGATGTCCGGGCAGCACTCGCCGGGCCGCTTTGTCACCGTGCAGTCGTCGCCCAGCTGCTTTACGTAGGGACACACGCGCAGGTAGCACATGAGCATACTGCTCACGCACGTGCAGTTCAGGCACGCCTCGTTCGTCTCGATTTGCTCGCCGTTTTCGTAGTGCTTCAGCATGAAGTAGCAACCTGCGCAATAATCGTTTGCAAAATAGACGGGAATGAGGGCCCTGTGAACGCATGGCACACGTGCAGTGAAAGCACTTCACGATATAATTAAATTTTCGGCAAATCGCGCCAAGCACATCAAGGTACTACACAGCGCCGCCTTGGTGCGCACCAGTGATACGCCAGGGTGACACCGGGATAGTACCAGGGTGACACCAGGAGGTCGACGAAGTCTAATGACGTCTTTGAAAATCACACCAGTGCACGCGAGAGTGCCCACGCACTACGATAATTCGAGAAAATTGTGCTCCAGGGCATCCCGGTGGCCACCGGTGAGACTCGTTGAAGCTACCACAAACGCAGTATAGCTCTATCTATTTCTTCCAGCGCCCTCTCATCGAATGCATAATGCATCTGCCCCTGAACTTACTCTGCCCATGTAATCTGTGAGATATGGATGGAAAAAATCATTTATTTTGACACAAAGAGGTGCAGATCTTCTTCGAGGCTAGGCAGGGCTTTGTCAGACTACAGTAGTGGCTCACAGTGTCTTAGAGTTTTCACCACACAGCTATTATTTACACAATATGGCAGTCAGAGTGGCCTTATAAGGGTGATTTAGGGGACTGACATCAGTAAGAGAAAAGGCGCACTTGCGGTATCGGCAGTAGATTTGTGCTACCCTTAACCCGTTGAGCAACAGCAGCCAGTGGGCACCGGATAATTATACAAAATACATCTACGGTATTGTCGGGTGCTCAGGAAAGACAAGCCCTCTAATATTTTTCCCGCGGTATTCCTGGTTGAGATGAAAAGCTGCCACCGGGAGTAGTACGGCGCAACATATCATGTGTCTTTGCTCGTGTCTCCGAGCAAGCAGGTTCCATTCATATGTGCAGTTTAACGTCCCAAAAGCACCATGTGATCATGAGAGAAGCCATAGTTGAGGGCTCTGGAAATTCTGGCCACCTGGGGTTCTTAAAATGCATCCAAATTGGAGCATAGCGGCCTGCACAATTTTCGCCTCCATCGAAAATGCAGCCGCCGCAGCCGCGATTCCACACTGCGAGGTTCAGAACATCGTTGTACCCCAATACTGCAGCTAGTGTGATTGTTCTACCTGGAATGTTTGCGAATAACGGACTGAAACTGCGATGAGTCCCTCACGTTGGTATTTGTTCATCGACTGAAGCAAAAAATGGAAATAAATAAGAGATAAAAGTGCTTCTCATTATCCCTATCGTCCATGGCTTTTCACCTGTTCTATCGACTCTGCTGTTTTTTGTTCTTTTTTTCACTTCTGACTTGTTTCTTTCCTTCCTCTCCTTTTTACACGACCCGCGACATTGTCCGGCAACTCTGAAGGTTTTCCATACATCACGCGGGTCCTACTGACTCATGCTGCTTTTGATGGCGTCAATAGTGTCTAACGGCCCCCAGCATAAACTCCCTCAAAGCCTTTCTCCATCCCACAAACAGTATACTTGCATCAAACCTCGTCGGCTTCTGCATTTCTGCTTGTATTCGAATTTTTCTAGACCAATACACCGCTGGACGCTGGTGCCATCTCTGACGCTTATCCCTGCCGAGTTTCTGAAGCGGGTCACTCAAAGCGCAGCTAAACGTCAAACAGGCAGAGCGCACGTCCTTCGGCTTTCATGCTGCCGCAAACGAACCTACGCGAAGTACTTTTTTTTTTCCTGTCCTCCCCTTTCAGCCTCTTTCAAAACTTCTTTCTAGCGGAGATTTTCTGCGACGCTTCGAAGACCCGTCAAGCTGGTGAACAATGCCCAGTAAAATGAATTATACAGGCAGTCCTCCAAGCTTACTGAGACTACGTATGGAACGATAGAGGTGCGTGAAGGAGGCGTCCTCTGTTGGTTCTCTGAGGTATTGTTGGAAAGCCATGCATCTGCCGTCGCTTGAATGTGCAGAGCCGGTCAGCTGTGAGCGCCGTACAAGAGTCTTACGCCGTAAAGGCTGCTTAGATCCGTAATTTATGGGTGCCCCGGTAGCTCGTCCAGCTCGAGTTGGCCTAGCCAAAGCGTCTGTCTATTAGACTATTTGGCAACTGTTGAAGAAAGTCTACGAAAAGCAGTTATTGTGCGGTGTTTTGCTGTGTTATGGACTACTATCTTCCCCTTGGGAGTTGTATGTTTACCTTTTTAGGTTGTGCTCAAAAAGAAAAAAAAAACGAGCGCCTTTTTTAGCTTTCAACTGCTATCTTGGAAACTACTATTCACACCTCCGTGCTCATGACGTAATAGCACGTCACGCATCCGTGCTAACTATCACAGTTAAAGAGGGTACTCGTTGCTGGGAAAGAACTTCTTGAACTTTAGCAGCTTGAATCCTTACTAATTTTATTATGCGGCGCGATGTTCTTCAGTTAACAAAACTGGCAAACATTTCCTCTGCCGACTATGTCAAAATCTATGACATTATCATGACGTTATTGTAACCGGAAATGACGGTTTTGTGTTGGATCACACGGTGTTTTTTTTTTTTACTTACTCGGCGTTCGCACGCGCTTAAACTGACCCACCTAATACACCAGATCAATGCAACTTACCTCACAGACCTACCAAGCTACTAAGTGCACGCGCTATCCCAACCAGCAGCAGATCGTAATGCTTTAGATCTATCAAAATACGTTAATTACGAATCAAAACCGCAAATACACCATGCGATTCCCCGTACTGGCGTCTTTCACACTCTGAAGAGCATGGTAGCTGACGTCAGCTGTCCATACATCAGCAGCAGTTCTCTTCCATACTGTCTTTAAGCCAAGGAGTCGGGTAACGGTTTCGTCGTTCTCTTGAAATGGCCTTTTCTTTCGCGCCAATACCGCAGACCGCTGGCACCAGTAAATGCAGACAACACCGGAGCGGACACGTTTGCGCGAACGTGATATTCCCGTGGTCGAATTGTATTCCTTACCGCGAAGACAGTAAGAGGAGGAAAATAACCGGGCTAAACTGTATACCCCTTTTAAGTCACGAGCTTCTTCACGTACGTTACTGGAAAATCGAGGGGATCAGGTTGCCCAATAAGCAGAAGTCGCTTCCCGGTCCTACGCACTTCCGAATGCGCGGAACGTGATGAAATGCGCGAGGACTTGCGGAGGTGATATTCTCCCGGTGTTAGCTTCTCACGGCCAAGAATCGTGTATGTTTCTTCTAGGAATATCGAAAAGCATGCATTGGCACTTACCCCTATCACGTGGAGACCGGACTTCTGATGAGAGTGGCGCTGAAAAAGAGAAAAGAAGACAGAGTTCTCGTGAGCATTTTGCTTCTTTGTTTGAAAATTAACAAGAGGAAAATTAGAGCCCCTTCTCCCTGGCCTTTTATAGAAGAGACTGTCGCACAGCTACATCATTGTTATTAAGCAATCAATCGATCAACATCCATAGTACAGCAAATGTTGCACTACATTAGCCCATTCATGCAAGGTAATAACGAAAAAAAAAAAGAGTGCCCGATTCATGCAAGAATCAGTTCACTAACACTTTTTTTCTGGTCTTCTCGCCTTTCATGCTAAATATTTATCTTGACCTGGAGTTCATAATAGCTATCATTTAAGCTAACATTGAGATTAAGATATTCTTTGGACCAACGATATATGATCTTATAAGTGCGGGGTTTGAGTTCATTGTCATAGCAACGATCGTGACACAATAACCAAATCATACGTGCGCAAGCCTGCAAAGAAACATTTGTTCGGTGCAGCGTTCAGTACTAGTTATTTACTATCGAAGAGATTGCCCCACCCCGGAAAAGATTCTTCCGAGTTATTGTTTGTTTGTCTGTTTGTTTGTCCGTTCGTGCTTTCATTTGCTTGTTTAGTTGTTTACTTGTTTAGTTGTTTCTTTGTTTGTTTCTACGACCCTGCAAACAGCGATGGCCGTAGCTCCGACGATGCGCCAGCCTGGTGCGGAAGGCAAGCGCGAGGATCATGAGCGGCCAATCGAATCGAAGTCTTCCGCGTGCGGATGTGAGGGCCAGCATTCCTGCATCACCTCTCCCAGACGGGGGCGTGTACGTGTGCGCACGCGCTGCCGGACCAGCGGAGTCCCAAAGCGCTTAATAAAGGGGCAGTCACGTTGCCAGACTGAAAAGGAAAGATGAGAACTAAACACGAAGTAAAAAAAAAAGCGTTAAGAATAAGACCGACCCCTCCAAAGCGGCCGCGAGTTTGACCACTCGTTGCTGCGAAACTTCACGCCGCCCTCCCCCCTCTGGCTCCTCGCCTCGTTCGATCCACTAAAGAAGGCTCATTATCAAAGGCGCCCCGTGCATGTAATATACACACACAAGACAGTTTGCACGCGTATGTGTACACGGCGTACTGGAGATCAGCCATCGGACCCGTTCATGTGATACGGACTAAAGAAAACAAGACAACCGGTGGATGTGTGGTGTAGCGATGGGATACCCAGGAGGAGGCAGAGGGGAGGAGACGCCTTCTCGGGGCTCCGCAGACTCCTCGGTCGGTTGACAGGCTGCTGAGGGGAAAATTGCTGCCTTCCTGCAAAATCCCCTGAGCGCGCACGCCAGTGAACGCTGATAGACGTCCGCGGCGGCACTGCAGCTACGCGCGAGACGTGGTGCGACCGGCGGCACCTCGGCGGTAAAGTGCCGACCCGCCGCCGCCGTCGAACCAAGCCGGCCAGACTCGCCGGTTGCTCGGGTTGTTGAACCCTTCCTCGCGTCGGCCTCGCCGCTTTTTGAAAAAAGAAAGGGTGCCCGCCTTCCTGCACGTGCGGCCGTGTCTCCACTGTTGGCGCGTCGCTTCGCTTGATATGCAAGCGGCTTGCACGCGACTCGAGCATCGGCACGCGACGCGACGGATTGCCGCTGACGACCATGCTGAAAGATGGCTCTCGTACGAAACGCACGGCGGAGATGCGCGGCTTCGGAACGGTTCGAGGGCACCCGTGGCGTGCAGTGGTGCTTAGTGAATGCCTGGCTAAGATGCATCCAATGGATCTATTTGGAGGGACCATCCTTATCCCATCCGAGGAACTCTCTGAGAAGAGAAGGAAAACTTATAGCATCGCTAGTTGAGTTGAGAAGGGTGCACTTGACGGATGATGGCAATTGCTCAAGCGTCCGAACTAAGTGGGCGCAAGAGGAATGGAACAAATAGGTTCAGTGATCGTCTTCATTTATCACTCTCTATTCGCTTCGTGGCGCTGTTTTATGAGCGTGCTATAGTCGCTTCCTCTCTCTGTGTCGCCATTATTATTTCCCACACGCTTCCTGCACTCCCATCGCATTGCAGCTACTTCACTGAAATCTCGTTGTAACCTTCCTGCCAATTCTTTTGCCTGCTTTTTTTTTCTCCCTCTCGAAATACGTTCAAGTATTAGTTACATATCTTTATTTTTTTGCTAGTTATATACGTAATGAGGGGGTGAGTGAGTGCGTGTGATCTTTTGCAATGCCGAGGCGGAAATGTTGTAGGCCCGTGTGCTCAGATTTGGGTGCACGTTAAAGAACCCCAGGTGGTCTAAATTTCCGGAGCCCTCCACTACGGCGTCTCTCATAATCATATAGTGGTTTTGGGACGTTAAACCCCACATATCAATCAATCAATCAATCAATCAATCAATCTTTTGCAATGCCGTCTTTCTTTTTATTTATACATTCCAGATGTTTTCTTTATTTACTTCATTTTTATGTAATTTTATTCAGCCACCACAGTATAATTTCTGAGATTAAACGTAATAGCTGAAAGTTAATGTTTACTCGCTAGACACTCTTATTCTGTAGCTAGACCCTGTCTAATCTACCAATGGCACTTTTTGTCAGAAAGATAGCCCTTGACAGGACGAAAAAATGAAAGACTCTGAACATCATTTTGCCGACAATGGAATGCGCAAGCAGGAAGGCTGGTCGTGTTATTCAATCACTAATAAATGTGAGTCAATGGAGGAAACAACGTTTATTTCACATTGTAACACGCCAACTGAGGCAATTCAGGGGAAAACGAGAGAGTATTATAGCAGAGAAGGCGTAGAGATCCGTTAATAAAGCTTATCAGTGTGGGAAACGCTTTCAGGTGATGCGTGCGCACTTGGACGCCATGTATTGTTGTTATCGAGCTATAAAGGCTCGGGCGGCATGTGTATGCGAATAGCTGTTGGTCTTCGAGGCTCAGCCACACTTGAAAAAAATCCAAACAGGCGAGGTGTTGGCAGCTATCCTAAAATGATACCATTCTACGCCCAAGCGACTCACCCTAAAGACATCCGGCTAGTCGTCAGCGAAATTTCTCAATCGTTTAGGCCCGTAAAGCATGATGATGTTATCAGAAAGCATAACGTGCCCCTGAATTGATTCGTGTTTGACTGTTGCGAACGCATACAGCCGCTTTAACAGCCTTCAGGTTCGTATACATGCGTGCTACGCACTATCGACGAGCAAACGAGTTTCACCTACAGAGCCGTGTTTAATTTGGAAGCGAGTTGTCAGGTCTCATCATTCGTAAAGGTAAAACAATTATATATCAGAGTCGATGCGCAATAAAGACTCCCCCCCCCGCCCCCCTCGAAGTTTTTGAAATACGTGTATATATGTAAAATCACACATACAAACACGCACACTAACAGGCATCAAAGTTGTTAACCCCCCCCCCCCTCCTTCAATATAAACTCGGACTTTGTCCAGAGTATAATTGCCTACAGTGACCATTGCTTCAAAGGGCTCTCTCTATTCTTTCTTTTTTTGAGTATTAAATTCCCTATAAGCGATAAGCGGGCTTTGGTTCATGGCCGGCCCTTGCCAGTGAGCACTTCGTTAAACCTTCCCGGCGTTATTTTTCTAGGTACTATAGGAGAACCTGTAACCACCAAGGTTCACGATTCGAATTGTTTTATTCCTGGCAATCTTCAATCAATGTGCACTTGATCGGTGGCCCTGCTGTACATCTCCGCATGTCATGTATATCTTGTAGTACTAAAAGCTGCCTCGCACTTAACCTCTTCGATCACCGACTGGACCTATTTTCTTGAAATAAAGCGCTTTGAGCAGGGCTTACACACCTACCAAAGTGAGAGTTCAAGGTGATTGGTAAATCCATGCTCGCTATTACTAAGCGCCAGCCGGGGTTGCTGTGCACGGCTAGTAGTGTATACGTTGCCTTCTCTTTTCCAAATGTTTTCGCAGTTAGTATTACCGAACTTCCTCCTAGTTCTTCCCTTGCTTCGCAGTTTTTCCTTAGCTACGCTCTATAGTTTATATCGTGAACCCCCCTGACCCAGAACCACGTCATTCACATTCGAACGAAAACTGTCGCGTATGGCTTCTAAGGAACTCACCTAAGGGGGGCCGTCGTTCCGACGGCGCATAACCATCCCGCGCATTAACGCAACGAGCGCCGCAGGTATGGTGCTCGCGATTCTCGTAGCGGCTCGACTGGCCGACGGTGTGCAAAGCAAACGTGCGAGCAAGAAGATGAGGCTAAGGGCGCGCTCTGGGAAGGTTGCTCGTTTTGGTCCACCGCGTCCGGCAGCGACGGAGGAAGGCGCTGCGGAATGTGCTCTTACAAATGTACACAGCAGTGGCATCCCGCCACTCCGGCGGCTGTGCGCTGCCTTCTTCTTAGCGTAACACGGCGCCTGCCTGCCCTGCGCTGTTAGCGCTCGAAGGAGGAAGAGGGGAAGAAGGTGTTGCTCTCGGTCTTGTCTTCGCTCTCCAACAGAGGTCACTGTCGAGAACGGAACAAGAAGAAAGCACGTCCTGTACGTGCGGGATGGCTGTAATAACCTAGCCCCCTCGCTCGCTGTTCGGCATCTAGAGCGCCGAGGATGTTCTGCCGCGGCCTTCTTTCCAGAAGCGCCCCTTTCTCTCTCCATCGCGGCCATGCCGCATGCTGCGGAACGCAGTCGTCGCTGCTTCCGGGAGAAAAAAGAAGCGGGGTGGGAAAAAGAAGAAAAAAAAGGAAGAGCGAAGGCGGAATTCAGTCGAGAGACAAAGCGACGTGTCTTGTCACCTTTCGCACCTGGGGCGCTAAGAGGGCACGCACGCGTCGAGAAGTAGAACGCCGCCACGCGACCGCTGACATTATACACGTACACAAAAGCACTCCGGTGGGTTGAAGGAAAGGCGTCAGCAAGAAAGCGAGGGAAGGGATGCGGGGCGTCGTACTTTAAGCAGCTCTAATTAAGGAGTGCATTTTTTGCTATAGGGTTGTACATAGTATACTGCTGAAGTAAACCTTGCGCAAACGAGTTTCTACACTTGGAT